TTTAGTCAATTTTAAGCAAGTTGAAAAAAGACCTTTTTGACCTTTTTTGACTTTGAGAAGGTCATTGAAGGTCAAATGTCAAATCTAAAGTCAGATTTGAAGGTCAAATGTCATATCTAAAGTTAAATCTAAAGTCAGATTTGAATTTCTGAGAACATGTAGATGATTTTGAAAAAAAATTTAGTCAATGTGAAGCAAGTTGAAAAAAGACCTTTTTGACCTTGAGAAGGTCATTGAAGGTCAAATGTCAAATCTTAAGTCAGATTTGAACTTCTGAGAACATGTAGATGATTTAGAAAAAAATTGAAGTCAGTCTAAACAGTATTTGTTAAGTTATAGGAAGTTGTAAGAAATTGTTACAGACGCCGGACGCCAACCACCAACCGCCGGACGCCGGACGCCAACCACCAACCGCCGTCGCAAAAAAACGGAGACCATAACAATATGTCACCACTTTTGGTGGTGACATAATAATCGAGACTTGTATTTCATTGAATCGGTCTACTGCACCATTATTCCTGCTTCGGACAATTGTGATATTTTTACAGCTTGTAGATTTAAATGTCCTCTTTTGATAATTCATATTTGATTTGAGTGATATTTTTCATGAACAAATTATTTGCCCAGGAGACTGTTCTCCAAACCGAGAGACGTGTCCTTATATATAAGGTGACACTACCCACAATTCAATTAGACAAAGGGCCTGTATTGGTATACTTCCCCAGTGAATAACTTCGGCAGCCATCAGTCCAAATATTAAATTTTGTTCCTAAAGAATGATGCGTCAGAAATTCAAAACAAAGAATATAAACCTGTTAAAATCTCGATCACCAGGATGTTCAAAGATGGAACTTCGAACCGCAAAACTTTTGGAGAAAAGTGTATTATTCTTAATCATGATTCTTCTGGGATTTATACTTCATATTATTTACATACCAAATTGCAAGTTCTGTAAGTAGTTGCCATATTGCAAAAAACGGTCCATAAGACATGCATTTTGAAAAGGTTTTATGATAAATAAGTTCTATAGGATATTTTGCACAATAGGCCTTTCCAGTTAATCCTGCCACCATTTTTGTACATGAAAAAAGCTAGGATATATTGGTTAGATTGATGATGTCATTGGTTGTTGGTAGCAGTCTGTCCAAGTGAAAATAAGTTTATCTTATTAATAATTTTGAAAAATAACAACCAACTTCATCAATCTAGTTAATATATTATAGATTCTTTGACCTATCAAAAGGTGTGAAGGTTCACTGGAAAGGTCTATTAATGCAATGTTTTCCGATTGATCGACATTCACTCATCGAATCGAATATCTATTGATCTTATTTAATGATTATTCCACACATAGCTAGGAAAGGTGCGTCAAATTCGAGCCAATTAGAACACAGTTTGTCAAATAATCTATAATTATATCATAGGGAATAACAAGCCAGGTACACGCGCTTATGTAGGTCAAATGTCTGAATGAATTTTTCCAAATGAATTGTGGATGATTTAATCCACTCGTGCGTTATTTTCTAGACTTTGCATTCGTGCTGACTCACTCATGTCAGGAAACAACACACATTATTCTACAATTCATTAACTCCTTTAATGAATGATCAAGTTTACGTACTGGAGGTGTTTCGCACAACGGGTTATAGCAAAAAGTTTCCACAACAGCATCTTGTTTTAATTGAAATACTAGGCACGGGACTAGGCATGGGCAAAAATCTGGCGAATGCGTTACGTTTTAGATAAGTTGAGCTAAAAACGTACCCTTTGCATTCGTTCGACTTCGCCTCGTCAAACGTTGTGCGAAACCTCTGTAGCTCTAAATTCTAGTCTTTTTTATACCCTTTGTTCAAAGGCTAACTTACATTGTACTTACTATACGTACGTACAAACTAAAAAAGTAACTTTCAGATTACGCCTTTGATCCAACCATGGGCTTTCAACTAGAATTGAAAGCCCATGATCCATCCTTCGGATTATTGATTTACCATCAATTTTCTAAACCAATGTCACTTAGACACAACTAAATCATCAATGACACAAGTATTGTTAAAATCCTTCACATTGTTATTTTGCTTCCAAAGTATTTGATCTATTTCAAGGAGTGTATACCTACATCCCGTGTCTATATAATTCCTCTATTCAGCCTTTCTCAATTTGTCATCTTTAAATTTTGACAACATTTCACAATTTTGACCATTTTCATAAAACTAGCAGGCCTATTGTTACCTAAAAGACTAACGTTATTCCTAGCTAATTTACTTCTTCATGTCTTATGTTCCATTTTTCGCGGATTTTTTGCGCGGTCATGACAATATAGACACACCTCTATTTATCAATACGTACTTCCGGAAAAACATTCCAAGAGGTCATTGAAAACATAGTATTACAATTTGACGCAGAGCGTATATAGCTAATACAAGCTAATAATAACATGCAAAATGTCACCACATACCATTTGTTACAGACGCCGGACGCCAACCGCCCAACATAGTCCACAAAAAACTATAGCAAAAGTACAATTTATAATAAGTGTAATTTTGTTAATATTGACTCATTTTTGATTTAACTTTTATTGATATTTATTTTTTATTGATTTATTTATTCATTATATATGTTTTCCTTATAACTCAAATTGTTTAAAATAATTTTCCTGCCAGATTGTGAAATGTTATTTCAATTCATTTGAGAGCACATTGATATTAATCGTTCATCAAGGTTCAAGGTTATAATATATAATTTCACCAGTTGACCTTAACATCTAATCTAATCTATAACATGCGGAAAGCAATTTCTGATAATACAAAAACAAGTACATTTTGACAAACTATGCAATACATTTACATGTATAACAATTCGACCCATTATTTACACATTGTTATAATTGCATTTAAGCTGATATTGAGAAATCAGAGGTTGAAGTCGAGGTCTTCATAACTTTTGAGTAGTAATTTTTAAAGACTTGTTTTCGTGTGAGTAATCATGTGCATATGTGGGCCTTGCAGAGCAAAAATCACTGAATTTTGAATTACATTCAGTAAAACACATCTTTTTAAGGGTTTCTTGTTTTTGAAATATCAAATATATGACTGTCTGGGAACATGTATAAAAAAGATCGAGTCGAATACACCAATAAAGAGATATTTCTTGTTATACATGTTCCTGGGCCTATGAAATTGAATCTGGAATAATCGTAATACAAGGAGAAAGATCAATAAAATGATGTCATTCTTTGACACCATGCACAAATTCTAGTACGTCAAATATCATCACATTAGAAGAAAGCAGTATCATTGGCTGAACTCGTTCAAATAGAAATGACTGCAGCTCATTACACTTGAATTATCAATTCTAAATTCAATCAGGGTGATACTTAACCCGTTGAAATAATATTCACTCTTATTAGGGAGTAATGAGAATGATCATAAAATGACAACAAACTTCTGAGACCACTGATTTTTAGTTTATATTTTGAAATATAGATGTCACCTATGATATTTTCTTTATATTACGATTTCCATCGATAAAAATTGGTTCTTAGAATATTTTCAAAATTATTGAGAGAATCAGTACATTTTTACAAGGCTCGGAGGAAGTTTTTCAGTTCGATTTAACATTCCATGAAATAATTATAAGAAAATGTTGAATTCATTCCATGTGTCTGGTTAATCATAATAGAAATATTTTTTCATAAAGATGGCAGTACGAGTACAGTCAATCTGGTTTATACGAGGGATGCAGATCAATAAGTAATGGAGAGAAAATCATAAAATTCCATCACTGGTACCATCTTCATCACGGCCTTAGTTGCGTTAATTGTTGACGTTTATTGGCGTTTCTCACTTTTTTCCTGATATATATTTTTCTGAAATCCTGGCTAGAAGGTATGCGACGTTTGGAGTACAACCATGTTTTGCAGTATTTTGAACAGCCTTCTGGAAGTGTTTTCATTTTCCCGTGGCAATGTCTAGTATAGACATAGCGGTGGTAAATAAAAATAGAATTAAAATTAAGAATTATTCATTCTCTTTCAAATATATTCAATTTACCGTTCATATTATTTTTAATACTGGCTTCTGTTCAAAAGTCGTGTTTCTACATTTTTCCAATGAATGCTTTGGGAATCCGATTAACCCTTTCCCATTACAAATATTTGAAAATTGAATTAAATCGACGACTACAATAATACAATGGATCTACTTTTGATCTCTTGTCACTTATAGTTGCATATATATTGAGTACATTATTAAAATCGTATTATTCACCAATGCTTGTATTGATGCCAGGGGTAACATTGCTTGCTTTTGTTGCTTGTTGTTCCATTGACTTATAGCGTATTTATTTACGTTGACTTGACAATTAAATGGATTTACCTAAATACACCGACCAAATATATTACAATGTGCAAAGATCATTTTACATATAGCGCTAAGTTTCTCAAAAAGGCATAATAAGTGTTTAATTTGGACCTTTGATTTTAATGGCAAATAACTCACTTTTTCAGTAAAAGTAACATTTCATTACAGTAACATATGGAACATTACACCTAGAATTGTGTTTTTAAAGAATGTTTATCAACTTTGAAAATTTAATATAATGTAACTACTAGATCGGGAAGATTCCCCATAGGCCCCATGTTATGAATCACAAATATCTTTGCTTGTATAGGGCAGATATTTTCTTTAACTGGACGTATTTTAATTTGTATAACTATAAGAAACATAGAAGGAAAATATAAACACTGGACCACTAAAACTGATGGATTCAAGTACAAGGGAATATTCTAATGTTTTTGAATAAATGAATGTATTTTCTGCCATGTCATCTGCCCCGAATTAGCCACCTGGTGAGGAAACTGGTAACTACCTAGTCACATCTGGGTTAAAGTGAAAGTTAAATTATCATCATGAATAAAAATGGTCCTATTTAGGATGGTAATGAAGCGTCTAGTCCTTTAAATATTGTGGCATTTAAACAAATTGACAAAACTTAGAAGCAGATTGTTTTTTAACTTTATTTATTTCATTTATCTATTCTTTTTTTATTTCAACGGCCTACATTTGTGTGACCATATCGATTTAAAAAACTGACATTTCAGACAGAATTTATAAAATTATTTAAACATTTTCTCAAGATGCAATGTTCATCAACTTTACCATAATCATATTCATCTCCATGGTAAATTTGATCATGACCACATCAATCATCTTATTAAATATTATATATAAACTTGTTTTCATGCACATCAGTTTGATTTTAACCGTTCACGCTAACACCCATTTACTTGTGTAGGCAGTGTTTTTTGGCAAGGGGATAGAGAACCATTCAACGCTTCATGTGTGTGAGTTATACTCTCTCATAATGGTATAATGTTTCTGCATTAAATAGTCCTCGGCCCAAAATCACTCATATAGCTGTCCACATGGTATTCATTTTTTCTTTTTTTGCATTATAGGTGTCCTTTAAGGGGCGTTCTAACTGATCTGTAATCATAGCACCTATTGTTTTATAATTGCTAAGCAACCGCTACTTCGTCAGGCTATTGTAGGAAGATTCTCATGACGACTGTTGCTATTGCTAATAGGCTAATTGTTGTCTGAGTTGCACCACTTCCTCCCCAATTCTAAAAATATATGAAGACAAAACATAAATCATATGACAAAATTATGAAATCAGTATCACGTTCTCAACGTAGTATGTGTAGTAATGTATTAAAGTAACTTCATCCAATAAACAAAGGCAAGCTTTTTGAAAAATGTACAATTAACCAGAAATATATATATAGTTAAATACAGATATTACTTTGAATATAAGAGTTCGAAATGAAGGCAAGCACTACACTCAGCATGTTTGAATAAAACATTGAGTCATTTTGCTGAACATTGCCATCTTTATTTAAAAAAGAACTCATATTAATTATAGGAAGCGAATTGAACTATGACTCAATTTCAATTAGATATACATTTAATGGTGTCTCCTAAGGCGATGCCGGCAGTTTTTAAAGTATTTATTATTGTTTTGAAATGTAGTTTTTAAACCCTTGACACAGAAATAAAATATTTTGAACTTTAAAAACTAATTATTTAGTAATCAATTTAGTAGACTTACACTTCCATCGGTGGTTGTCGCAATTGCTCCATTTGCTCCGTTATTTGTAGTATTGCTTGTCGTGGCATTAGGATTCACGGTAGTAGCTGCAACTGTGGTTGTTTCAGGTTCTATGGTGGTTGAATTTCCATCTGTTGTTGTGGATTCCTCGGTTGTTGTGGGTTCTTCGGTTGTTGTGGTTGAATTCGATGCACCTACATTTGTGACACCACACACGAGCATGAACAATGCTATAGCGACCAAAACTGACACCATCTTGTTTTCCATTTTAATTTGGTAATTTAATGGGTCTGATGTGCTGATAATTATTTCACCTGGAACAAAATTGAGCAAATTATTAATGGTAAAACAATATACTACATTGTAATATAAGCTTTTATAAAGAGCTATAGTTATTTATCTTATTTCATCTTGAATTCTAAGTTTTATGTAGTACATAAGGTTAGTGCTTTGATGCTTTAAAGATTCCATTTGAAATATATTTCAATGAGATTAAACAGATTGTTTTCGTTTACATTAAGATACATTATTCATGAATTCATTTAAATTATAGTTGATCATATAATATCTTTATGTATACATTTGTTTTATGAATTATTATGAAATTATGATTATTAAACTTACCTCCTTTGTAGTCGTAGTGTTGCGTTCCAAATACTGTACTGCCCAAATCATTTTCTAAATCCTATTTATATCGGATTTGCTTGGCAACCCCTAACAATTATGGTGTCCAGGAGATTAATCTTTTGAATTGTTGATCTCATTTAAAAAGAAATTAGGTTTGAAAGAGCACAAGATTAATCGTTTTATTCACCATAGATGATATTGCTATGCGTTTGGCAAATATTTTGCACTTTGAATAACACTCTTGTCCTCAAATCCAGACCACAAGGTGTAATAATGATTATTATATAATAATCAGCGTTCTCCACAGGATTTTGTTCTGAAGTTGGTACACAATTATAATTTTCATATAATTCAGACCGTAATTGGTCAAAATGTACCCATTTATCCCATACTTAGGAGTGTTATAGGTAAATAACATGCGGGAATATAATTTATATCTGAGGTGAGCGGGAGATACATAGATCTCCCGCTGAGGTGAGAGGGAGATTTACACAGGGCGTATCAAAAAAAGTAACAGGCAGTTATCTCGTAAAATCACATGACTACATCACTTTTATTTAATTTACCATGAAGCCACATCCCTCCACACCCCATCCCTCATTGCAATGAAATGTCATTCATTCACATGTGGTCATGGTTGGGCAAGAAATCCTTCCATTTGCACAGTGTGTCAAAATCGGCTCTGAACCAAGTATCAGATATGAGTCCAGGCTCAGTTTTACCCCACTTTGCGAATTTTAATGATTAATCGGCCAGCCATGACTTCCTGTGAATGAATGACATTCCATTGCAAAGAGGAGTAATTTGGCTTTTTGGTACATTGAATAAAATTGATGTACATATTTTCATTGGGCCCCGTACACTGACTTTCGCGATGTTTATAAATTGGTCCCAAGCTAATTTTGGCCCACTTTGCAAAAGGAATGATTACTAGCCCAACCATGACCCAATATCAACGAATGATATACCATTGGAAAGAGGAGACTGTTATCACTGGTTTTGTACTTTTCCGAGATAACAATCTGTTGCGTTTTTTTTATACACACTGTATATCAACCGCTCAACAATTACCGGGAATTACGTTTTATGTTTAAAGCTGTGGAGTTTTTAAAAAACAATGACTGTTAAAACCTTTACATTTAGATACGATATTAAGGTTTTGATTGAAGTTATCATTTGTAGTTATTACATAAGGGTTCCACAACATTCAATGCATACTTAAATATAATCTAATCTACTAATCTTCAAAATCTATAAGTATAAAATTAATCTGGATCTGGTTAATGTTTATATAACAAATTGTAATTTGTATTATATGAAAAAAGTATAGGATAAATCAGTTATTACTTTCACTTTGCGAATTTTAATGATTAATCGGCCAGCCATGACTTCCTGTGAATGAATGACATTCCATTGCAAAGAGGAGTAATTTGGCTTTTTGGTACATTGAATAAAATTGATGTACATATTTTCATTGGGCCCCGTACACTGACTTTCGCGATGTTTATAAATTGGTCCCAAGCTAATTTTGGCCCACTTTGCAAAAGGAATGATTACTAGCCCAACCATGACCATATATCAACGAATGATATACCATTGGAAAGAGGAGACTGTTATCACTGGTTTTGTACTTTTCCGAGATAACAATCTGTTGCGTTTTTTTATACACACTGTATATCAACCGCTCAACAATTACCGGGAATTACGTTTTATGTTTAAAGCTGTGGAGTTTTTAAAAAACAATGACTGTTAAAACCTTTACATTTAGATACGATATTAAGGTTTTGATTGAAGTTATCATTTGTAGTTATTACATAAGGGTTCCACAACATTCAATGCATACTTAAATATAATCTAATCTACTAATCTTCAAAATCTATAAGTATAAAATTAATCTGGATCTGGTTAATGTTTATATAACAAATTGTAATTTGTATTATATGAAAAAAGTATAGGATAAATCAGTTATTAAATGGTCGATTTTTGATACGGGGTATATCCCTTGGTAAATACAATCAACCCTCGGTCCCTCGGGTAGATATATTGTATTTCCCTCAGATATACCCTGTATCAAAACATCCGATTAAATAACCTCTCTTTATCTCATTTTCAAGTGGGCGCAAAGTGATTTTTAAATGGGTGCAAGCCTCTTTTTAAAATCTCTGCCCCCCTGCTTTTATACTGGGGAGATCACTGAAAATATTATAATTTTCTACACCCATGGTAGCTCGTCAAACACAAAGAACTCAAAAGCGTTGATATGGTTGCGGGATCTCAACCCTTGATTTCAGGAGAGCAAGATAGATTCACATTTTCTCAGAGGGACTTGGCGGAAAACGTGTTTTCTACATGAAAAATGTTTTTTATGTTGAAAAATAATCTTAGTCTTTCTGAAGTTGCCCTTACGAATCCTTGATTTACTGATGTTTTTGCTTCATCTATATCATTCCTATTCTATTTCAGGGGTACAGTAGCGAAAGTTATAATTAGGAGGCTCACAGGTGCTTTAGAATTTTGGTTTCTTTATTTCAATATTCAAAATTAACATACAAATGACAGGACCTAGGCTGACTACAGCAATATTGGCCCTGTTAATACAAAGTATATTACAAACAACAAAAAGTGGCTACCAACATGTGTGGCAAAAATGTGTATTTATATTAGTTAATACATTTACACAAAAGATGTAAAATACTGAAGAATTGCATGTTAAGTAAAGAAAAAGTTCATTTCTGGCATGTTCCCGGGTTCCCCCAAAAGTTTCTTTCCGATATCTTTGAACAGAGGGCATTTTTAAGAGTAGGTGCTTTTGGGACTTCCAATGCCCTGAAAGTTATGTTGGAAAAGATGACCAGTAAAATGAAATGAAATCTCATTCTGTTTCTTGTTCTATTCTTGTAAAATCAAGAATTGTGGTTGTTAAATGCTTCTTATTCCTTAAATATTTACCAAAGGTGTTGAAACTAGATGGTGAAAATTATTTGGAATAGCTTCCCATTCTCTTATGGCATTTGTTTTCACCAAATATAATAATCATTATTACACCTCGTGGTCTGGATTTGAAGACAAGACCATTATTGAATGGAGGGGGAGGGGTGGATGGAGGGGGTGATTATATGTCTTTATGATGGAACAAATTCACAAGTACATGTACTCGTGTATTTGAAAAAACTAAACTCAGTACCCCAGTAAGAAACTGGATATTATATCTCTGGAGAATGAAAAATGGGAAAATTTGGAGTCATAATAATAAATTCAATTAGCATGTCTTATCATGTCTTATATACACGTTATCCCCCCTCCATACAATATTAATTAGTATTGTGATAATAACGTCCCTTATACCTATTTATTACAGGTCGTGTCGACCATTGTTGCCCGATTTATAGCAAAAACATTGACTTTTGCATGTTGGTGATGATGCGCCTTTTTTAATCAATATTAGAAGGGTATCAGTTCAAAAAATAATTTTGCCATGCACTGCGCCTATTCATTTGGCAATTAAATTGTAAATTTTCTCTTGAAAAAATAAATCTTCCAAATTTGTTGAGTTTTCTTGCAGAAATTGCCAAATCCCCCCCCCCCTACTTCCAACTACATGTAGCTTTCATCTGTCTACTTATGCTCCTACTAGGAACCTGGGTTGAACTTGGAGGGAAATACCAATGTAAAAATGTGGGTAAAATGTAAGATTTTTCAAGTTTCTCAAAGTTTGTCCTTATACTTCATTATTTCTTGCGATGAAACTGTAACCTGATTAAAGCATTCTTTACGAATTGCTCACTATATGTCAGCATTACATTTTTTGAGACATTTGAAGAGAAATTTAAAGATCAAAGGTCAAGGTCATTAAAGGTCACAAACTGTGGTATTGAATTGTTTAACTTTTTGTACGCTAAGTGTTCAGTTTACTTTATGAATACTTAAGTTACAGAGCTTCAAAGTCATTTTTGAAAATCAGTTTTCGCCTTCTGTGTAGTTTCAATGGGAAAAATGATTTTGTCTTTGAAGACCTATAATTTTTTTAAACCTGAAGAAACGTATCAATTTTTTATAAGATAAAGTTAGCAAATTCAATTGACTACCTGTATTTTGCAAGAACTTGGGCGGATGAATATTCTGTCATATGACTTGCGGCAAACCTATCATTTCCCATTGGTTTACATGGGGATGTAAAAAAGTAGAAAATTGGGAAAATTTGGAGGCATTGGAAATGAAGTCAAGTTACATCCAAATCAATAGTATTTTGTTAACAGGTTAAGTTAATGAAAATCCAAACATAAAGAGGCTTTAACACGTAGTTTAATGAAAGAGCTAAGGTTGCCAAATTTATGGAGGGGAGTGTACATCCTTCTGGCTCTGGTACATATATCTGAAGTGTGTTTTTCCTAATGCGCCAGAGGGATGTAAAAAGTAAAAACAAACCTGATCCATTTTTATTGTCTACAGTAGTGCCTTCATACTGTTGTTCTGAAAGAAATCATATTAATCATGGGAAGTTTATTAAACTATGACCAATTATTTAGTAATTAAGTAAGAGGACTTCCATCAGCGATAGACTTAACAATTGCTCCGGCGGCTCCATTTGCTTCATTATTTGCAAGTGTACCATTACTTGAAACTGTCTTGGCATTATTCAGGGTTCACGACTAATGTTGAAACAAGTATACCACAATTTACTATTTTGTTTTAAACTCAGTCCTTCGCATAATAGGCAATATGAGTAACCAAAACCCCAGAAAATCCTGAAGAACCCCAATTTTTATTACTTGGAACCTCTAGTATTGATATTGCTCTACCGATTCCTGTTTTTTAAAGCAAATCGCTTGGAGTTTTTTGAAGTTATGGAGGATTTCAGCAAGGGGCGATTTTCAAGTTATTTGAAAATATTTTCAAAAGGAATTTTTACCATCTTTACCATCACATTTTTTGGTGGTAAGAAAAGTCAAAAACAATTTTTATGTAGAACGTAGTGAATAATATAATTTTGTGTTTCTGTTTTTTAAAGAACTAAATGATATCTAATTATTTTTAAAATTGTTTTATCTGTGGAAAGTAAAAATGTGGTTACGCTGGTTAAAATTTTTTTAAAGAAAATCTAAAACTCTATCGATGTGTCTAAACATTTCTCAGGTACAATTTTGCATAATACTATACATTTCTAAAATTAAAAGTGAATTCCTTCGGCAGATTTTTATGAAACAAAATAAATGTATATACAAAACTAAATTTAAAACAAAAAATAGACTCTACATCTTTTGCTCATAAAAGGACCCCTGTTTAACCCCGCAATAACTTACTAGAACTAGAAAATTTTCGGTTGACACTAAAACTCTTATTCCTTTATCGCTTAAAGTACAAACTGGCAGTCAAGTATGTCAGACCGACCGCTGTCAGTTTAGAAATAGGATACCATCTTGTTATTAAGTTGTATATTTAGCTTTAGCTCTAAGTGGAATTGATCCTATGTATGACATGCATTCATCCATTATATGAACTTAAGGAACCAAGTACTTTAAAATATCAATGATCATTTTAAACCCATTAGCTTACGTATTTAGTAAGACTATTTTATTGTATAATCAATAACATCATTGTATTTTAACGTGACATTATTTGTACACAATTTCATGAAAATATACATGTACTTATCATAAGCTAGGGGGAATCAATGGGTTTCGCTTAAGTTATTTTGTTCAATTTCTACAATGGATGCACTAATAACATGTGTTCAATTACTGGTGTGTAATGAGTCTTTCAACATTCTGATTTATCAGAACTCCTCTTTATTCAACGATTGACTATTCCAAAGGATAGAAAAGACCCTGGATCCCAAAATAGTCTATCACCAATATTGCCAAAGTGAACATAAAATCATGGGAAAATTATTATATAGCGAAATTATGTGCAACAGTACAATGGCTAATACTGAAATTGCTCAAGTATTAACTTCTTCATTGTGGCTGTACTATTGGGTACGGTGATCTAAAACTACAATACTAATACTATAAACTGTGGTCAAGTGTTGGGGTCATGAATAACATAAACTATGAAGTCAAAACAATGAAAATACACCCCATAATTCAATGAGATTATCAACAAATAAATAATACAAATATGAGATTTGGATTATGCTATACCAACGATTCAAAATAATATCTTGGTCTCAATATTTTGTAACCTTAAATCCAATTGTAATAGTTCTGGTACTAGTACCTTTAACTTGTGGTTTTAGATTGCGATTTTTGTTTCGTTTACGGAATAAAACGGAATTAAGACTATGTTTCCCAGCAAGTTCAAACGGCAATACGATATAGCACACGCTCATGGAAATAGACTCTACTTTCTAAAGACACCAAAAACATGACTAATGCTAGAAGAATGAAAGCGCCTTAGGGTCCCAACCTACTTTGTTAACACTCTCAGAAATGTGAAAAATGAGAGAAGTTATCATAACCTTTCAAGAGGCTTTGTATTAAAAAACCTCGTACCTCGTACTCACGTACCCATGTACGTTGGGCATGATACAGTCTTTGAAGGGTTCAATTTTTGAAATATTAAGATACAATCTCCGTCTTTGCTGAATTGTAGATACACACCCCATGCCGATAGATCGCCTAAAATTACATTCATATGATGCGAGACTCGACATTCAACGGGAAACCATGAAGCAAATTTATTTTTTACTGCTTTATAAATGGTGAATGACAGTCACATTGATTTCTATAAGTAGGAGAATAGCACGACGTCTTGATATTTCAAGGTAACTCGTTTGAATAGTGATGGCGGTGATTGAAATTACGATGTAAAGATAAAACCACAAGGAAAGATTTGTAGATTTCTTTGCAAAACTAAGAAATATACATCACATATCGAATTTTTCAAAACAGAAAAACATATTGTGTAAACAGTAAGGCCTGCAGGTCCGATTCCCCCTAGTAGCATTAACATTGGTCTCTTGTATGTCATACAATTAATATTTGAAACACAACTATTATTCGAACTTATGATCGGACATAAGTATGATGCGTACTTCAAGGTTATAAAGTAATACTATCTAGTATCATACCAATGTCCTATCAAAAGTTCGAATAACAGGTGCGTTTCAAATATTAATTGTGTGACATATACGAGACCAATGTTAATGCTACTAGGAGGAATCAGACATGTAGGCCTTACACTTTATACATGATTTTTTTGTGTTTCGGAAAATTCGATATGTGATATATGCTTCTTAGTTCCTCAAAGAAATCTACAAGTATTTCGTTGCAGTTTTATCTTGACATCATTTTGTCAACCACCGCCATCACTTTTCAAACGACGTTACATTGAAGTATTAATTAGTTGAATTAGTTGATTGAATGTTTACTCTGGGATAGAATTTTACAAAAAAAGAATGATGCAAAGTCAAGAGTTTAAAACCGTCTAGACTTACTTTATTAAATAAACAAAATCCATTTAATGAGCAATGGTATATAATACGAAGGATACGAGACTCATGACTTGCATTTTCAAAGTATGTTTACATAAAAAATCAAACGTTGAATAATGTTTTCCTTCAATATGAATAAATGTATTTATTGTGTCTAGAAAGTTCAGTATATACTTAGTTTGCGTTTCTATGGGTGCAAAATATTCAATTGATCTTACTAATATCAATTTACATCTATGCTTTTATAATAGCACAATACTCTATAATATAATAGTATAAATACTCTTTTCATGAAAAACATGTGATAACCTATAAGTTCAAATTGATTTTACTTAAATGATTATATGGAACAATAAATAAACTAATACAAATTAAATGTTTGCACAATCAATGGCCGTTATTTGAATACCATAAATTTAAATATCTTTTTTGCTATTCCAATATTACCTAAAACCTATTTGCTCCAATCATTTGACTATTTGTTTCCCCCCTAGTAGAAATGTAAAAACAGATGCCGGGTATCTGGTCTATCGTGTGTCATCAGTATCTGCGAATGTTTCGAATATATGAGAGGTAAGGTATGGGAGGTTTTGGACATAGGGTATATCCTAAGGAAAATAAAGATATTTTACCAAGGGCCCGAGGGTCCGAGGTAAGATATCATATTTCCTGAGGGATATACGAGCATCACATAACTAATAGTTTTATTAATTTGTTGATTAGTTTGTTTCAATTACTGAAATCAGAATGTTCCCTCGTGTCATTTCCATTTCTAAACATAAATTCACTATTTCCATTTCATTCTGGTCTGGTGTGTTGAGCATTAAAATCTGTTCCCTCTAGTCAGGTTGGATGATGAGGCAACCTTTTAATGAAAACTTTACTTCTCCTAAATAATGTAACTGTTGTAAACAATGAAAAATCACCCATTCCAAGAATTTATCTGATGTTTTCTATATGACTTTACTCCTCCTTAATAATGTAAATGTGTTGAAAACACTGAAAACTTTACTTCTCCTTAATAATGTAACTGTGTTGTTAACATTGAAAAATCACCAATCCCAAAGATTTATCTTTTAACTTTTTCTTAATAATTCAATTAAAATAGATTTTTGGGATTCCTATACATGTTGGAGTACCTGACTTGTGGCCAGTTACTTTTTCATTCAAATTATTAATAATTTCTATAATTTCGAATGTGGTCTCTGAATAAGACCATTTTACATTGGGTGAGATTACTTTGCCTCTATGTCACTATGACATGCTTTTAGTAATTTTTAACTCTGAAAAAATTATTGACTTATCAATAGGTACATCGAGTATATATACTGAATAGCAGTTTCAGTGTTCTTATTAGTTAGTACAACCATTAACTGAAAGCATCACCTTGCGTAATGAACAAAAATAGTATAATTAAATGATATCAATCTACAAAACAAAGAAATGTGATCAAATATGGAAAGTTATTCTGGATTATCTTCCAATTCAGCAAGCAGCAACATTTTAAAAGGACTCTTCTGACGTCTTTGCCTAAAAATGATCACAAAATGAACAAATTGATAACAGAATTTGCAAGTAGCACATCTGCTCATGGTTGGGGTACAATTGGACAGAGAGGTTCAAAATGTGGCAAACTACTCTGGGTTATCTTCACCATAGCATGTCAGATAGCAGCAGTAGTTTGGGTAGTAATCATTCTAACAAGATACCTACAATACAAGACATTGGATAGTATAAAGGTGACTAATGATTATCAAGTTGAATTCCCATCTGTGACTGTATGTCCATTGAGCCCTGTCCCAGTATCAATCTTAGAGCAATGGTCGTTGGACTATAATACCCCTGGCTCTGAACTTTCAAAAATTGATGATCACTTTGCTCTGTTGTTCAAACTGAATACTTATTCAGTAGGAGAAACAATAATGGATGAGGAAATGCGGAGGCTGGCAACAAAGTATAATCAGCTTGACTCATATCGTGGATATCTAGAAAATATACCATATCTCTGGAACTATGGACATGAACAGAACAATTTTATACCAGGGTGTGTGTATAAACAGAAACCTTGCATAAATGGTAGTTTTGAGAAAATTCTTCTTCATTCCTACCAAAACTGTTATACATACAATGGAGCTTCATTAAATGAAATGCATGTTACTACTCAAGGAGTGGAAGGAGGACTATCTTTGATCATTTTCCTTGATATGGGTTCAGAATTCCGAGCATTGTACAACCCTTATAATGCAAACACAGCGTCATCAGGAGCTAGAGTGATAATTCATAAGAAGGGCACACTACCAGACCCTGAAAATGAGGGATTTAACATTGAACCTGGTCGTACAATAAATGTTGCACTATCAGTGAATCGCCGTGAGCTGATGAAACAGCCTTGGGGACAATGCGAGGATCAATTCTCTCTAGGCATTGGTGAATTTAAATACAGCAAGAATGCATGTAGGCAAAAATGCAGGACAGACCTTATCCGCAAAGCTTGTGATTGTGTATATGAGACATTGCCAATGTTAAATGTGACACTACCAAATGATGACGTACTATGTGGTAAGATTCATTCTGATGAATGGTTGAAGATAAATCCTAATATAACTCTTCTAAGAAATGATCTCGATAGGCTTGAATGTTTGGATAAGTATTTGAACTATACATGGGGAGAAATCTCAGAGGAGCAAGGGTGTAAGTGCAGAAAAAATTGCACCACTCACTCATACAATATTGAAACATCACAAGCAGTTTGGCCAATAAAGGGATCTGAAAGTGGATTTTACTGCCGTCAAATTATGATGTTAACCCCCAATTACATCAACACGTCAATTTACAGAAGATTTCATGAGAGAGCATCGGATAGTTGTTTTAATGAAAGTCAAGGAAAAGATATGGGGGATGAACTTAGAGAAAACTTTATCAGACTGAATGTTTATTTCAAAGATCTTGATACTAGAGTTACAATTCAAGATCAAGATTTTTCATTTTGGTCAATGCTGTGTGAGGTTGGTGGCATCCTCGGATTTTTCATTGGCGTCTCAATAATATCCATTGCCGAGTTCACACTCTTTTTTCTCAATATTCTAAATTATGTCACTTTCAAAAGATCAAAAATAAATAATCATGTACATTCTGAAAACGATGAAGATCACAAGACAAATAAACATTCAATAGGAGTAACCATTTATCAAGGGCACAAATAATTATATGCATATGACAGAGCCACAAGTTTGGACTTAGAAGATCATGCACGGGTTGCAACACATGACAATGTAAATGCAACTCCTCCGTACAAAACAAATGTGTTTGGTGATGTATTTATATTTTATAACATAATGTGTATATACATTTTCTTTCACTATAAGTTAATTTGGTATGACTTTACACATATATGAGGTGGCCAATTGTTATGACCTCCTTCTCAAAATAGAACATTTGTTATGGTTTATTAAGTTCAGCAAAATAGTGTTACAGGCCATTAATGTTTTTTTGTTATACATGAAAGTTACAGTGTTGCTTTAAAGGCCGACCTTTCCATAAAATTCAATATTTGTGCATATACTAAATTGTATGATAGCCATATTGAAATATTTGTTAAGCAATGCATGTTGCTGTATAGCTGTATAATCATTATATGTAATTGTCTTACAATTGATTTTGTGAGGAAACCAAATGTTTGGATTGAAACACAATAAAATCTTGAGTATTGAATCTATTTTATTTTTACATTTTCATTCAAATAAAAAGATTATTGTTTTATTTCATTGTTGACAAATAGCAAAATCACAACCATTGCGTAAAAATGTTTGACGGTATAAGCTTATTTGAAACCTTGGGTCTACAAAGCTTTTCATATCTCTGGAAATTTAATGCATATTATCCTAAAATGTCTTATTGGTCAGGTAAAGGAACAATCATCATAGTGGTTAGCATCATAATAACAACTGTATGGTGTGTATTTCTACAAAGCATTTCCCCAATTTGTTCATTATTGTATATTTTGTCATTATAGCTCAAAATATCATTAGGTTCAATGGAACAACAAACGATTGCTCTCTTTTCACATGTGCAGGTTATTTTTATCTACAAATATTGTTTGATCTTGTATTGTTTCCTATTCCTATTTCTTGTTATAATGAATGATCTTACAGAAAGACTCAAATATGAAAATTTAGGAATCCCTCTAGGTGGACAAAGAATCCCTGCCCTTTTATATGCTGATGACGTAGTACTTTTAGCTGAATCAGAACATCAGTTATCCAAAATGTTAAATGTTGCTAATGAATTCTCTGTATACTGGGGGTTTCAGTTTGACACGAAAAAGTCCAAAATAATGCCAGTAGGTCGAAAAATCAATCCCAATGCATCATGGAAACTAGGCCATTTGAATCTCACTGAAACTAAAGTCTACAAATACCTAGGAGTTATTATAAGTAACAATCTAAGTGATACAGCACATTTTAAGGAACTTTTAAGACCCAAAGCTAAGAAAATAAGCCTCTATATTAATACAACCCTAAACAAGCACTCTAATATACAACGATTTAAATTTGGCGATACTCTTCACAATAATGTGTTCATTCCAGCAATATTACATGGGTGTGGTATTCTTACTTTTGAATCGAAATCCAAATGTAACGATATGAATTCTTTCCAATATAACACTGGAAGATCAGTTTTTAATCTAAATATGAAGCCTGCCAGGGAAGCGGTTATTGGTGATTTAGGATGGCGTCCGATTTTGAATACCATTGACAAAAGAATAATAGATTATTACCTTCATCTACAGAAGCGCATGGAAAAAAGTACACTTTTTAGAAATATATTTATGGAAATGTTTAAGCGTTTCGAAGATAATAAGATTTCATCCTGGCCCTATATTAAATCAATTTCTGATACCCTAATTAAACATGGCCTAGATAGTTGTTTAAAGTCAACTGATCAAACTTGGTATAAGTCCTTCCTAGAAATCTCTAATGAAATGAAGAATACAGATTTTTTCGGAGCTATAGATAAGAGAACATCACTGAAAACTTACACTGTTCTTAAGAAACATACATTTAAAGAGAACTACCTCCAAGATGACATCGATTTCTATTGCTCCAGGTTAAAATTCATGGCAAGAACTGGGTGCTTTAACTTGGAGGAGGATAATAAACGATGGAAGAAAAGTGATGGAATTTGCCCTCATTGTAAAAGTAATGACATTGAAGATTTAATTCACCGATTCATTGTATGCCCTAAGTTCATTAATGAAAGGTTACAATTTATAAATGATATAACTTCAAAATGTGACGCTCTTTTAGTAGCTGAATTCATCTCTCTCTCTCCTGAGGAGAAGCTAAAATACATGTTAGGGGATGATGTCTTTGAAATTTGGGGGAAAGAACAAGGTAGAATGTTTGACAAGTGTTTTAAAAGGTTTTTAAAATCAGTTTATATTAAATACTCAAAATGAATGTTTTTAGTAAGTTGTAATAATTGTTTTATCTTAATATGTACATTCGACGCACCTTTGCATTGCAGAGCGTGCCACTGTTTCAAAAGTGTAGATCGAAATAAATAAATAAATACCTAGCATACTGTTGAGTATACATTTGTTTAAATTACATTAGATATGTTACAATTATTTTAAAAGATGATACAACAGGCTATAATAGGTCTTAGACTATCTTATATTCATCAAAAACTCAATAATAAAAATGACACAAAGAAATCATAAGTTTAATAAGGATAATATTGTTAATGTACTGTATATAGTGCCATATTATCATATCACTGCATTATTTCTTGTTTTTGTACTTAAAATGCATTGAAAGTAAACATGATACAGCAGGTAGGCTTATTGCAAAGGCTGTAGTTCAACAAAGGAAAAGTAAACAAAAAGGGTTTAAAATATTAAGTACATTACACTGCCATCTTTCAATCAATCAAGTTATAAGTATATTAACAAGATTTTAGTAATTTCAACCTCTAAACATTGTATTCAGAATGGTTGACATTCAAAATGCTTCATGTATAGTACTAGCCTATCCATAATTAAAAACATGTTACATGTATCTAAAATAATCACATACATATTAAAGTAATAAAATTGGCAAGCTTGGAGAATCCATCATCATTAACAATTTGAATTAGTGTGATATACTTAATTCTCCTTGTCATTGGTTTAATATCTTGGAGTGCAATCGATCTTGTTTATCACTTGCATTTAATCTTTACACATTATTTATTGTATAATCCATAGCATCATCATATTTTAACTGGAAATTATTTTTACAATATTCCATAGAATGATTTCTGTAGTATTGGCTGTAATATGACAATATAATATGACAATATAAGAAAGATATTAGCATCAATACAGGAGAACCGGTTTTATCACAAAATTAAAATTGTGATTAAGAGGAAAATGTGCTAAATTCAAATCAGTCATTTTGGTCTATATCTACAAGGAAAAATTGTAAAGACATAAGCCAGACATGTAGCTCATTTGAAAGTTTTTTTCGTGCTTTTAAAAATAAACAAAAAATCATCATAACATCTTTGGCGCCTTGTATAGAAATTTTAAACCATCTCACGTATACGCATGTAGTGTACATATACTGCACACGTATGAGCAAAACTACAATCAATGCAAAATAGTAATAAACAGACATTATAAGGGTATATTTGATATGATATTGCAATGTAGTTCTTTCTTGCATTTAGGTTTGATACACTTATATTTTCGTTGTCCCACATTGCAAAATACATCATTTTCTCAAAAGGTTTGATACATTAACATATGGTTCAATATATATACATCCACTTCATATGCATTAACAATTACTATAAACCATCTAATGGATTGTAAATATACCAGATTACTGTAATGTGAACAATGAAAGACATCCCATTCAAAAAAATTCTCCGATCTTTTCTATAATTTCTTCATTTTTCTCCTTCATAATGTGAATAAACTGTTTTTTTGGATTCATATGAACATTGTAGTATTGATCCATGGCTCAATTACTTTTTCATTCAGATATTCAACAGTTCCAGTTTGGTTTCTATTTTCAAAATAAGACCAACACACTCTGAAAATCTCTGTGGTGGGCTTTAAATAAGCTTAACTCAGAACAAACTGACAAATTATTAATGCATTACTAATGGGCACCAAGTATATATTCTAATAACATATATAGTCTTATAATAAGGTACCACAGCAATTATCTCAAAACAAAGCCTTTGTTTTCATAAATGCACCTACATTCATTTCTACATCACCCACGTATAGTTAAAAAAAATGTGTGTCATGGACAAACAAAATTAAAGGATATCGATCTACAACACAGAGTTAAGTGATCAAATATGGAAAGTTATTCTGGATTAGAGTCCAATTGAGCAAGAAACAATAATTTTAAAGGACACTACTGACTTCTTTGTATTAATTTTTTCATTTCAAGTGTCACCTAAAACTGATCTCAAAATGAAAAAATTGACGACAGAATTTGCAAGTAGCACATCTGCTCATGGTTGGGGGACAATTGGACAGAGAGGTTCAAAATGTGGCAAACTACTCTGGGTTATCTTCACCATAGCATGTCAGATAGCAGCAGTAGTTTGGGTAGCAATCATTCTAACAAGATACCTACAATACAAGACAATGGATAGAATAAAGGTGACTAATGATTATCAAGTTGAATTCCCATCTGTGACAGTATGTCCATTGAACCGTTCTCCAATGTCAATCTTAGAGCAATGGATGATGGATTATTATACGCCAAACTCTGAACTTTCAAAAATTGATAAGTACTATAATTTATTGTCCAAACTGAGTAGATATTTAATAGAAAGAGAAACAATTGAAGATGGGGAAATGCAGAGACTCGCATCCAAATATAATCAGCTCAACTCATATCGTGGATATCTAGAAAATATACCATATCTTTGGAATTATGGACACAAACAAAACGATCTTCTACCAGGGTGTATGTACAAAAAGAAACCATGCGTTGATGGAAGTTTTGAGAGAATCTTTCTTCAATCCTCCCAAAACTGTTATACATACAATGGAGCTTCATTTAATGATATGTATGTTACTACTCAGGGAATGGAAGGAGGACTGTCTTTGGTTATTTTCCTTGATATGGGTTCAATATTTAGATCATTGTACAACCCTTACGATGCGTACGATGCATCATCAGGAGCAAGAATAATCATTCATAAGAAGGGCACAATACCAGACCCTGAAAATGAGGGATTTAACATTGAACCTGGTCGTACAATAAATGTTGCACTATCAGTGAATCGCCGTGAGCTGATGAAACAGCCTTGGGGACGATGCGAGGATCAATTTTCTTTAGGCATTGGCAAGTTTAAATACAGTAAGAATGCATGTAGGCAAAAATGCAGGGAAGACCTCATCCGTGAAGCTTGTGGATGTGTATATGAGACATTACCAATGTTAAATGTGACACTGGCAAGAGATGAAGTGTTATGTGGTAAGATTAATACCGATGAATGGTTGAAGACAAATCCTAATATAACTATTCTGAGAAATGATCTCGATAGGCTTGAGTGTTTGGAGAAATACTTGAACTATACATGGAGAGAAATTTCAGAGGAACAAGGATGTGAGTGCAGAGAAAATTGCACCACTCACTCATACAATATTGAAACATCACAAGCAGTTTGGCCAATAAAAGGATCTGAAAGTGAATTTTACTGCCGTCAAATTCTGATGTTAACCCCCAATTACGTCAACACGTCAATTTACAGAAGATTTCATGAGAGAGCATCAGATAGTTGTTTTAACGAGAGTCAAGGAAGAGATGTTGGGGATGAACTTAGAGACAACTTTATCAGACTCAACATTTATTTTAAAGATCTTGATACTAGAGTTACAGTTCAAGATGAAGATTTTTCATTTTGGTCAATGCTGTGTGAAGTTGGTGGCATTCTTGGATTTTTCATCGGAGTCTCAATAATATCAATTGCCGAATTCACGCTCTTTTTTCTCAATTTCCTAAAATACGTCACTTTGAAAAGATCAAAAGGAAATAACCATGTGTATTCCGAAAACAATGAAATAGATCACAAAGAAAAATACTGAAACATTCACAGGACTAAACATATCAAGGGCACAGTTTTTTAATTACACGACAATGTCACAATTTCAATTTGGGCTTTAAAAGAACAAACCCAGGTTACAACACATGACAATGTTAATGACATCCCACCTTTCAAATGTACAAAGCAAATCTATTTGGTGTTGTATGCATATTTTATATTATTAAAGCTAACTTGAAATGATTTTACACACATGTAGTGGCCATTTCTGCCATGACACCTTTCTAAAGACAGATCTTTTACGACTAATCACAGTTCAGCAAAATAATGCCAGGATAGGACATCACTGTATTTTGTTTGTCAATTTAACTAAAAAGTTTACATGTATCTACAACTTTTGTTTCCTCTTTCCTGTATCCAACATAACATTGGTGGCATTCTTGGATTTTTCATTGGAGTCTCAATAATATCAATTGTCGAGTTCACGCTTTTTTTTCTGAATTGCCTAAAATATGTCACTTTGAAAAGATCAAAAGGAAATAACTATGTATACTCCGAAAACAATGAAATAGATCACAAAGAGAAATACTGAAACATTCATAGGACTAAACATTTATAAAGGGCACAGTTAATTATTTATACGACAATGTTAAAATTTCAATTTGGGATTTAAAAGAACAAACACAGGTTACAACACATGACAATGTAAATAAATGACATTCCTCCTTCCAAATGTACAAAGCAAATCTATTTGGTGTTGTATGCATATTTTATATTATAACATGTATATACATTTTTCGTCTATCATTAAAATTTAACTTGAAATGATTTGACACAAATGTTGTGGCCATATCTGCCATGGCACCTCTCTTAAGACAGATATTTTATGACTGATCTCAGTAAAGCAAAATAATGTCATGGGACATCAATGTATTTTGTTTGTCATTTTCAGGTTGTTAAAAAAACGCGACCTGAAGAAATCACAATATCTTGAAAAATACTGGTTAAATTGTGTTAATTTTTTCATGAAAGAAAGAGGAGACTGAAAAAATGAACACAATTGAATGTGTCTTTTCAAGATATAGCAATTTTTCTAATACTAATGTCTTTTGAGCAGGTGTCGAAGACATCATATTTTACAACTAACAAACAAAGGGATCTATACATCCACAGTCTATTCTTTCTTTCCTGAAAAAATGAACACAATAGACGTTTCCGATAAATCGTGCCATCTTTTGATCCATCAGAGAAACCACAATATATTGGCTAGATTGATGATGTCATAGGTTGTACTTTTATAAAATTAGCAAAAAGTGAATACCATTTTTGAATGGGCAGTTTGCTACCTACAACTAATGACATCATCAATCTAGCCAATAAGTGATAATTTCCCTGATGGATCAAGCGATGGCACGATTTGTCGGAAACATCTATTGAAGTAGTATTTTTGAAGATATAGTGATTTCTTTGGGTTGCGTTTTTTTGAACACCCTGTATTTAAAAGTTTATCAACAATTTTTGTTTTCTCTTTCCCATATCCAGCATAACATTGGATATACATATTTGTAAAGTGTTTGAGAATTTTTCAAAATATATTACAATGTCAAATAAGTCACAATTAAATCATAAGTGTAATGTTGGTTATATACTGTATATAGTGTCATATCATTATATCACTGCAGAACAATCTCATTTCTAGTTTTGGTACTTCAAACGCATTAGAATTATGGACAAAGGGCTTCACGACATCCTTTCGTTTGTTGGGATAACTATATAGTATTCAGTGCATTGTCGTGTTTCAATCTGTTCAGTATATTTAGACGATTAAAGTTATTTCAACCTCTTAACATTTGTTGCCAAATGTATGTATTAAGAATGGTCAACGCATGTTGGTCAAGGTACAGTAATTGTCTTCCTCATCAATAGTTTCAAAATATTTATCCACAATTATTACATACACTTTAAAGTATTAAATTGGATAAGTGGGAAAATCCATCAATAAGACTAAACAATTTGAATTTGCGCAACATTAATGTTAAAAGAAAAACAAGTACTCATATTGAAAAACTAATACTGGTACCTGTGAGCTTTTCAAATTGATAAGGCACTTACGTAGTTTACACCTGTCGACACAGAGAAGTGTTAAACACACAGAAAAAACAATGAAGGATTTAAGTTTATTTGATACAGGAGAGAAATAGCAATCCTGCAATAAACAGTAAAAATGACTCAATCCAACCGTTTGGGTGACAGACTGAATAGGCACAATTGACAATAAATTGTTTTTCTTCCTCATATGCATTCATACATTACTATAGGAAAAAGATGATATGATAAATATGAATATGAGAAGGGATATGTTAAATGTGGTATCAATGGCTGTAATTGAGTTTATTATCTCTAAGTGGAATTGTATGATTGGTCACATCATCTCATCATAATGGGACAATATTTATACAAGAAAGACACTTTTACTAGTCATTAACTTAAGAGAATGGTTCACTTAATAATTTTGTATTTGAACAAGTAATGCATTAAAATGTGTTTAAAGTCAGTCTAGCATCAATACTACTAAAGTGAACATAAAATCATGGGAAACATATTGATCAAATTATGTAATTCTGCTACCATGTATGATGTTAATTATACCCACACATCAGTTTAGGATTTTAATTTTTTTTAATAAATTGATTTAAATTTTGAATTAAACTGTTGTTCAGTTCTATATACAAAAAATCATAAGAGGATTCTTTCATGAAACCAAAGGAAAATGAAGGACCATTATGAAGATATCAAAATATGTGGCCTAGAGACTTTAAAGAATGCACAAGACCTTAGGTTTGATAGACTTAGCTTTTTACTTTTTACTTCCTCACATTGTAAAATGCATCATTTTCCCAAAAGATTTAACAAATCTACAAGAATTAACATATACACCTATATATGTATTAGTAAGTTTAATACAAATCATGTAATGGACTGTAAATAGTCCCCAATGACTGTATTGTGGACATTGAAAGACCGCCCATTCAAAGAACTTCTCTGATCTTTTCGATTTGACCTTATTATTATTTCTCCTTAATATGTGAATGGAATATATTTCTGGGATTCATTTTGCACATTGGAATATAGACTCATGAATGGTTACTTTGTCAATCAAATGCTAAACTTTTTATATTTGATTTCTCATTTTAAAATAAGACCAGACTCTGAACAATTTATATTGAGTGGATTATTATTCCTATCTCTATGGCATGCTTTTAGCAATTCAAACTCAGGAAAATTTATCACTCATTAACATCAAGTATAATTATATTCTGAATAACCTCGAAACAAATTATTTACATAGTACTTATGGGAAGCAAGTGTTCCTAATAGATATATATAAGGAATTTAAGAATCACGATCCCCTAATGGACATTAGTAATGTATTCTAAATAGCACCGACAGAGTTCAAAAGTGACATATTACATGTATCGACATAAGGAAAAATTGAGTAATGAATCAAAATAGTCAATTTAAACAATATCAGTCTATGGAAATTTAATATGAGCAAGATGAAGGAGTGGATATTTCAAATATATTAATAAAAGTGGGATTTAAAGAGACAAAGTGCATGAATTACAACATAACTGTTGAGAAGTTAATAACAAAACTGAAATTGTTCTGCCGCAGGAGAAAGATAACAAATCAAATGAATTATGGATCGAATTGGCTGATTAAAGAAAACATAAAATTGAAAAACTAATGTCGTAATAATGATTGCAAAAGTAATCTATGACCTTCAACCTTGCAAGAAACAACAAAAAGTGATGAAAATGGATATTCTTCAGCTATTTTTAAAATGACCCAACTGATTTTTAATATCATAGCACTAGTCACCAGAGCACAACGGATCACAAAATGAACAAATTGATAACAGATTTTGCAAGTAGCACATCTGCTCATGGTTGGGGGACAATTGGACAGAGAGGTTCAAAATGTGGCAAACTACTCTGGGTTATCTTCACCATAGCATGTCAGATAGCAGCAGTAGTTTGGGTAGCAATCATTCTAACAAGATACCTACAATACAAGACAATGGATAGAATAAAGATGACTAATGATTATCAAGTTAAATTCCCATCTGTGACAGTATGTCCATTGAACCCAACTCCAATATCAATGTTAGGGCAATGGCTGTTGGACTATAAAAAGCCAGACTCTGAACTTTTAAAACTTAATGATTACTATGCTCTGTTGTTCAAACTGAGTGGATATTTAGTTGAAGGAATAGAGATTGTGGATGAGGAAATGCAAAGTCTAGCGTCCAAATACAATCAGCTTGACTCACATCGCGGGTATCTTGAAAATATACCATATCTCTGGAAGTATGGACACGAACAGAACAATTTTATACCAGGGTGTATGTATAAGAAGAAAACATGTGTTAATGAAAGTTTTGAGAGAATTCATCATACTGCCTTTCAAAACTGTTATACATACAATGGAGCTACATTAAATGATATGTATGTTACTTCTCAAGGAATGGAGGGAGGGCTTTCTTTGATAATCTTCCTTGATATGGGTTCAGAAGGCCTCTCATTGTACAACCCTTATCACTCCGATTCAGGGTCATCAGGCGCCAGGGTTATCATTCATGAAAAAGGTACAATGCCAGATCCGGATAATGATGGATTTAATGTCGAACCTGGTCTATCAATAAATGTTGCACTTTCAGTGAATCGACGTGAACTGATGAAACAGCCTTGGGGACAATGCAAAGATGAATTTTCTTTAGGCCTTGGCAAATTTAAATACAGTAAGAATGCATGTAGGCAAAAATGCAGGAAAGACCTCATTTGTGAAGCTTGTGGTTGTGTATATGAGACATTACCGATGTTAAATGTGACACTGGCAAGAGATGAAGTGTTATGTGGTAAGATTAATACCGATGAATGGTTGAAGAACAACCCTAATATAACTCTTCTGAGAAATGATCTCGATAGGCTTGAGTGTTTGGAAAAATACTTGAACTATACATGGAGAGAAATTTCAGAGGAACAAGGATGTGAGTGCAGAGAAAATTGCACCACTCACTCATACAATATTGAAACATCACAAGCACTTTGGCCAATAGAGGGTTCTGAAAGTGGATTTTACTGTCGTCAAATTATGATGTTAACCCCCAATTATATCAACACGACAATTTACGAAAGATTTCATGAGAGAGTATCAGATTGTTGTTCTAACAAAACTCGAGGAAAGGATATCGGGGATGAACTTAGGAAGAATTTTATTAGACTGAATGTTTATTTCAAAGATCTGGATACTAGAGTTATAATTCAAGATCAAGATTTTTCATTTTGGTCAATGTTGTGTGAAGTTGGTGGAATTCTTGGATTTTTCATTGGAGTCTCAATAATATCAATTGTTGAGTTTACACTCCTATTTCTTAATATTTTTAATTATGTTACTTTCAAAAGATCAAAAATAAACAACCATGTATGTTCTGGAAATGATGACATAGATCACAAAAGAAAGAAAACTGAACATTCTACAGGACTTACCTTTTATCAAGAGCACAAATAATTATATGATAATGTTACGATTTTAATTTGAGACTTGGGAGCACATGCACAGGCCACAACATATAGCAATGCAAATGACTCTCCTCCTTTCAAATGTACAAACCAAAGGTGTTGGATGTTGTATGTACTGTATATTTAATATTATAACATGTATACACAATTTACTTCACTTAATTAAATTTGGTATGAATTCATCCATATATCATATATAGGCCAACAGTAATGGCATCTTTCTTAAAACAGAATATCATTATGGCTAATCACAGTTTAGCAAAATAGTGTATTCATACATCATTGTGTTCTTTTGTACATTTAAGTTATAATGTTGCTTTAAGTTTATCTACAAATATTGTTTCATCTTGTATGGTTTCCTGTATCCAGCATAACATTGGATAAACATTTGTGTAAATGCCATATCGACGTGTTATCGAACAGCCATCAGGATAGGTGGAGACACCTGTCAAGTATAAGCTTCCTGATATATCACACACAAGAGGAGAACCTGCATCTCCCTGAAATGTGAAAATTCTTAGAATAATTCAAATTCATTTCAACTATTTTATATATACTATATAGAGTAGTAATGTATGTATTATTATATCACAGCAATAATTGTAAATATACTGGGTTTATTGAACGATGAATTGTACTCAATATTATGTATACTTTCTGTATGCATGCAATGCAGTAGTTCATATGTAGAACTACTGTCATCTTTCAATGGGCTTATAAGCTTCATCATCTTTAATACAAATGCATTTGAAGTACCAAAAATATAAACATGTAAAAGATTAGGTGACTCAATTTGTAAATGACTTTATTTACCACACAGTTTGGTTCAGCTATGGGTATGCCAGTACATATTGCCCTCGGTGACACTTTGTTCCTCATCCACAATTGTTTACTGCATTCTTCTATAGATATAGGCTTGGTCTTATGTTGCACAAGGTTTGATTCCAATGTTTTGATTGTTAACAGCCTTTGGGCAGCTGAAATATATCAATGGGCTAAGTCAAATTAATGAGCATAATTTTCTTTTTACATGAATAGTTCATGCATTTTGTATTTTACACTGAACTACAAATGCAACCCCAATTTCTAATAATTTGGAATGTGTTGAAAAAGTACTGCTCATATTGCAAATCACATTAAATAACCAAGCACATACCAAACAGTCTAAATAACCAAGCACATTGACATACCAAGAGTGCTAAATCCAGCAGAGATGCATGTCACAGGAGCACCAGTATAGTTTAAAAGATTCTCCTCATGTATGCAAACAGGTTGTATAGCAGTTCCTATTTTAACCTTCCTTGGTAGCCTCACCAATGCTATATCATAATCATATAAACCAGGGGTATTTGCAAATCTTGGTTGGAACTTTGGATGGATGTATATTTTTGCTGGTGATTGGTTGTCTTCATCGGGGTCTTGTATAATTCTATTATGTTTTCCTAATCTTATTGTCCAAGCATGTTCTGCCAAACATTTATCTCTAAAAATAAGTGATAGTTTTAATTTTAATATGTTTCTAATATTTTCTTTAAAAATTTTAACTTTCAAGTTAAGGTGACATTTTTGATGCTAGCTAAATAATCGTGTGCTTGTAGTTTGCTGTAAATATTATTCCATGTATAAATTAATTTTTTTGCTAAATATAGTGCATGTTTTCAACATTTTGTGCTTGTGGTAAATATTATTCTCTGTATAAATTGTATTTGTCACTAAATATACATGTTTTCAAAATTTTGTGCTTATGGTTTGCTGTTAATATTATTCCATGTGTAGCGTTTCAAACTTTAATATCAAAATGTATAGCTTACCTTGAATCATAAAAGCATTGAGCAGCTGTAATGACCCATTCTTCATTAATTAATGCACCAGAGCATACATGTTCAGTTGCATTATTAAGGTAGAAGGAGGCGATCCATGGGTGCGAATGAGGAACAGCATCTTTGGCTGTTGACCGCATAAGCCTTGAAGGACTTCCCTTGTGACAACTCTCTTTATTGGAATATGCATCATAACCTAAGGAATAAGATTCACTGAAATTTCAACATCAATTGGTGTGAGATTAAAATCCTCATCATATGGGGAAGTAATATTAGTTAATGATATCTTTAATACTGTATATGTTAGGTTCAAAATGCTGAGATGCAATTTTGTTTTTATCAGAAAGAAACATAAACTAAACAAGCATCCTTTAATTTATTTACTCCTTCTTTGAATAAAATGTCAAACTTCAGAGTGGCAATCCTCAATCTACTGCACAAGCTTTTTAGAGTTCTATGGGGCATCTCTAAGTCAAAATCTAAGATATCCCACTTATATCTGGAAGTATTCTAAAATAATCACTACTTCTATGTTAGTATTTTTTGAATGGGCCATGCGCAAAAGTATTGGATTTAATTATCTACACATACATTTAGTTAATTTCACTGGTATCTTATAGATGGCAAGTATTTACTTACAAGTTTCAGACGTACTACATGGCTTTTCTTCTTGGCTTTTCCCCTCACATTCTCCCTTTGTTTCCTTCCCATTGACTGTCTTTCCATGACACATTCTGGTCCTTCTTTTAAATCCCTGTACACAGGGATGGGAGCATCCGGAATAAGCCGACCAAAACCCCCACACAGATTTGCCTAAATGAGAAAATGCAGGAGCAATATGATGGCGTGTCATCAGATTAAAACTGGTCATGTTTTGGACTTTTGTTTTATGACACTTGCATTAGTTACTATAAATTAAAATATCATTATTATATCATTACGATATTTTCACTTAATGTGCTCATAAAGCTTATGGTAAGTGTTTCTGTTGAACATAATAATGCAACATACATGGCGCTTAATACATGGATATGTGTATGCAGGTGAAAGACTGAAGACTATTAGAAAACGAAAACAGGAAAAACTGAAAACGCACACAACCACACATTAGGAAAACAAACCCCAATATCCCAAAATATAATCGAACATACAAAGATAATGTTAACAACTTTAAATTAGAACAAAGTATGAATACCCTAAATATATTATAACATATGCTTTTTAATTTTGTTTATTGAAAATGTGGTATTAAGGCAGTTGTTCAAGGAGTAGAACCCTTTGCAACTAAAGCATTTTTTATATGCAATTTTCAAATATAAAACAGTAAATAGACTTAATATAATAGGGTTAAGCCTACTGAGTTTGTAGAAGCCCTCACATCAAATTGCAAGAGTGGCAATGGTTAATCTTTGTTTTTTACAAAAACTAAAACCTTTAGCAAGCCAAACACTCATAATTAGAAATATATGTATTACTAAAGACATTATTATCATCAATATCATTATTATTATCAATACATGGTCTAACTTTAAACATAATTCTATATTAATCATTAAATTTTTCACACTATATCATAAATGCAGGAGCACACATAATGTTAATATGGACAAAAACTGAGCTTTATAAGACTTACTATATACTTTGGAGCAAACGACAGAACAGTTGCAATTACAAGTTGGACGCTCATGTATACCTTCCCCAGATGCCTCTACAGCCTTCACGAGTACTTCATTTATAACACATTGTCCAGGAGCTGCAAATATCACACAAAACATTGATACTAAACAAATTAAATTCTCATTTAGATATCCTAGATGTTGTAAATTCTAACATCTCATCCACAAAAATATTTTCTTCAGAGCAAAAATAAATATTTTGTGGCATACCAGGACACGGATTACTGTTACATTTGTAATTATCCAATGAAGCTCCTTCACAGGCTAGACCACCATACATCGCTGTGGGATTGTTACACTTGCGTTCTCTAACTAAAGTTCCACCTCCACAAGTCACAGAACATTGTGAAGTAATGTTCCATTCACTCCACTGGCCATCAATTGGATCTAGAAAACAAAATCATATGGTAACAGTCAAAAATCATTGAAACAGAAATCTGAAAATTCATATTCTTGAAAAGGTAACCGGACAACTCATCCCCTAGACAACTCATCCCTGGACAACTCATCCCCTAGACAACTCATCCCCTGGACAACTCATCCCCTAGACAACTCATCCCCTAGACAACTCATCCCCTGGACAACTCATCCCCTAGACAACTCATCTCCTGGACAACTCATCCCCTGGATGACTCATCCTTTGGCATGTTTGAGTAATTTAATGTAATATTATTAATTCATATATTATTCAAATGATTAACACGATCCTCGATTTAATACCTTACTTTTGTTACGTAAACAGAAATTCAAAAAATGGTTAAGATCTGCACTTCTAACTCTTTCTATTTACATAACAATAGTAAGGTATTAAAGCGACGATTCTGTTGTCTTCTGACTGACAAGTGAACAAAGATTTTCTTGAGGGGAAATCTGGAAAATTGTTTAAAAAACTATGATATACCATGGTACTACTATGGTATTGTCAAGGAGATTATCAACCAATTAATCTGTAATTTGTTTTGTAAATATTTACCTTTAATTTTACTTTTGATATACAATTTCAATATTATGTTAACATTCATTGAAGAAGCTCCTTTGATGTCATAAGCTCCTTTGATGTCATTATATGTGTGTTCATAGTTCAAATATTCTTAAATCAAAAGATATTTTTTCACAGCAGTAACAGATGAAGTTACTGAAGTTCATGTTTCAAAATAATGCAGAGAGAAAACTTTATTTTTTGTCATGAAATAATAAGTCATGTATTATAAGGACAAAATACGAAGGTTTTATTGGCACCGTTTGACCATTTTATTTGTGTCAATAAAGCGAAAAATAATATTTAGAATGATTCAAAGTGTATTTAATAAATATTTATTTTCAAAAAAAAACCTTAACAATTTGGCTTCATGTGATTAAGGATGAGTTGTCTAGGGGATGAGTTGTCTTGGGGATGAGTTGTCCAGGGGATGAGTTGTCTAGGGGATGAGATGTCCAGGGGATGAGTTGTCTAGGGGATGAGATGTCTAGGGGATGAGTTGTCTAGGGTATGAGTTGTCCAGGGATGAGTTGTCTAGGGGATGAGTTGTCCGTAAGCCCTTGAAAATACAGTATTACGTCACATACAATACTTATTTTTGGGTGTCATTAGGATTTAATATATAACAGTCTCAATTTAAAAGCCTACAATTTTCAATTTGATTATTTATTTAAACATGATTAAATCAAAACTATCATATTTCTTACTTGTAAAATGTTGGATATTTTTCTATGAATATTAAATGATGAAATCAGTTGGCCTCTGTGGCATTTTATTTCTTACTTGGACAACGTTGAGTATTACATCGTTCAGTTTCATTTCCTTTTCCCTCACAAGTTGCTTCCCTAGATGATGGAGGAACATTGTTACAAATTCTAAACCGTGTTCTTTCCCCCATGCCACACATTTTGGAACAATTAGTAAACTCACTCCATACACTCCATTGACCATTGCCTTGAAAGATGGAAAAAGTGCAATGGAATTCATTCATATAATACCACATCTACAGTACTATATTATTACTGAATGAGTATGAGATAAATATATGTATGTATACAGAATCATTTAAATTGGGAAAGAATACATGAGATTTCTGAAAATTGAGCATATAACAGTTCAAACCATGCAATGGGAACACTAGAATATTCTATATCTGCTAATTTTACTGGATAAATATGACGTGAATATATGAGCCTAGAATCAGATGGTTGAGAGGGGAAATGAGACTGTTTCTTAACATTTAGTACAGGGTGGTCAAAAAAACTGGAAACCCTAATACCATTTTTCTAATATCTTTGTCATTTTAAGAAATAACTTTGCACATTTGTACATCACTCAATTTCCTATTTGCCTACCTTATTTCATGACCATCAGATTGATGGCCAAAGTGTTATATATTATCACAAAGATATGAGGACAATGCAGGGTTTCCATTTTATTGACCACCCTGTATTTGACAGTGTATGGGCATCTTTGCATGCTCGGTCTTCACTGCGTATATCAACCAAAGGGAGCAGAGTGAACGAAGATGATGTATGGGAAAAACAGTATTTAACAAGTGTGACTACAAAATTATTCAGTTTCATTTATTTCCCTCTTAGCTTATTGTCAATGGGACTTAAGTTGAACAATCACTGTTTCAAAAACTGGCATGATTCAATGATGATGAATATAAATATCTCTCTCTTTACAGTGACACTAAAATGTGTAGTTAAATTGAAGTTGATTGCTCCATTTAATATGGCAAACAGTTGCAAATGAAAAATGAATACATAAATGGATAGTAAGTACCCGTGCAATGGATAAATACATCATTATCATGCTCACAACCACCTGCATCTCCCCAAATGTTATGTTCACATTGTTCTATAGCTCTTTCTGGACCATTACATTTTACCCCACTCAACCAAATCTGTGATAAACATAATTCATGAATTAATAATTATTTTTTTCAGAAAATTCAATAGATTCAGGTCGCAAGTAAATCTTTTAAGACAGACATCATCTTACATTTTATGCTCCCAATTCTTTAATGTCATATGAGGCTACATGTACCTACTATCTGAATAAAAACATACTGAAGTGGTTTAAGATTAAATGGAGTATCCATTCCAAAAAAGGTAACAGATTGCATCCTTTAATACAGTTGAAAAGGTTGTAGCATACTATAATAACTAGTTAATACAATATTAGACCACTCTAATCCTAAAGTGCATAAGTGTCAGCATAACATAAAGATGCTAATGGATCAAGATCTCATAAACAATAAACAATATGGCAATTAATAGCCCATTTACACAAATACATGTAATAACTTCATAGTATTAAAACGAATCAATAATAGGAGAGATTTGGATATCCATTCAATTTTTATTTACATGTCGATATGTGCACTCATGACAAAGTTTTAAGTGTATTATGGTTCAGTTCTATGATTCGACTCGTTCATATACTTGGTATAACTAATCTTTGCAAAAATGTTGCTTTACCTAACTCATCATGAATTTTTCATTTCACTTTTTTTCTTTTTTTGCATTTTATACACTAGAAAGCAAAATCATCTTATAGTTTTAGAATAAACACACAATCAATATCAATTATAGAATGCCAGATTAAAATATAACCCATAAAAAATATCATGACTGATTTAGAGAAGCCTCATTCCCCTGACCATTTGCTTATTCATTTGCTATAGTGCTACACGTATTATATGCACTGGCTTTACATACAGGTGAGTGATGTCATATGCATTAATCTAATCAATGAATTTGGTTTTAGAGCCATTCCGCAAAAAATCTTAAAAATGCCACAAATGTTTCATATAGAAGTATACGGATGATTCAAAAGCCAATAGACTAGATCACAATAGAAATAATCTTGATTTATGTCATTAAAAATCCAAATTCAGTGAAACCGATGTTATGTAACATTACATCTACGAATGTGGTTTTCAAAAGGGTTTGTCAACTTTGAAAATGTGACTTCTAGGTCAGGGAAATTCCCCATAGACCCCATGTTGTAATATCACAAAAAGTGAAATATCTTGTATTTAACAGATAATATTTTCTTTTACAGGACATGTTTTAATTTCACTATCAGATTAATAAGGGTATATGAAAAGTGAACCACCAAAACTGATGAATATTCTACTTTTTGTAATACCCTGCCATATTATTTCCCCCAAATTAGCCACCTGGTGGCGAAACTTGTAACTACCCACTCGCATCTAAGAAATTTGTTAATTGACTTGCAATCAATAAAAAATAATTACCACTTACATTTCTTGGTTTTCCTGGCACATTCTTTTTGTACCCGACCTTGGAGAATTCAGGGTTAAAGCCCAATGTTTTACATATCACCTTAGCCTCAACGACAGTGAAATTGACATCACATATAGTGCCCCATTCATTTTTATGATAGATTTCCACCAGTCCTTCAACCTCATCACTTAGTCTAATTTGAGCTGGATCAATATCTAAATAAAACACTAATATATAATATAATGTGTTTAACACCAATGTTACAATTTCCAAAATCCTAATAGCAATATTAGTTTTCATTTTTGTTTAATTTGGAATATTGATTAAATTTAGTAAATAAATAAAAATGAGTTTTTATAAGCTGATTAAATTAGCATAAAAGTACATCCATTAATGATCTTTATAATGGTTCATTCATGGTTGAATATTGGATTTTTAATAGAAGATATTGCTACAACTTTAATACAAGTCCTACACGGTGGTCCATAAAATTAGAAAAATTTATTTTGCAATAAGTTTTACAGAGGCCATAAATGCTAAACATTTGAAGGAGCATTCAAATTCCTGTAATATAAATATTGTATGCTGAAAATAAATACTTGGTATATCATGACTGAACAGACCACCATTTGATTGGCTACTGTCAAAGAAATAATTCAACTGTATTCCTAAAAAATTGGAAGGTGCCAACAATTAGCAACATTTTGGCCGAGATTCCTGCTAAGAATCTTATTCCATTTCAAGAAAGTCTGGGAATGGAAAACCCAAAACAGGTAGGACAAAGTTGAATATAAACAAGATTGAACAATTTAAATCCAGTGAAGATAATGATCCATTAACGAGGAAATTTCCTCATAAGATCATTAAAGCAAATGGATTGAAAAAGCATTATTTGTCAAACCTTCACTGAAAAGAAATGACAAAAGCAGTCTAGTTTCTGTATGGGCTTACTGAGGAACTCCAGCAATGCTCCGATATATAGTTAAGTGATGAGAAAAGATTCACTATTTCACTGTCCAAGGAACTCCCAGATGACAGGATTTATGCCCTGAAGAAAGCACAAATCAGAAGTAAAGATTGTGCAAGCCACATAGCCATTTTAGCGACAAAGATATGGTTTCAGACTGGTATTCGATTCATTCATAAAGGGCCATTCCACTGTTTGCAACAAACTATACCTACCTTGAAAAGAATGTCCAATATTCATTTGTCAAAAATTGTCCTTCAAATCAAGGTCCAACACAAATCCCAGCAATGATAGATTGTTGGGTTATAATTTGTTAAATGGTGTTTTAAGGCAAACCACTTGAAAAATCACAGCTGGATCCAGCAATCTAAATATCATGGAGGAAGGTGAGATTAACAGAATAAAAGCAGAAAGTAGGTCAAATTCTGGTGTATTCTAGAAAAGGAATACATTTTCCTTTTACCTTTTATCAATTTTCCAATTTTATGGACCACCTGTAGTACAAATCTTTTTTCAAATAATCAATATTGATTTTCAATTGCTTACTTTCACAAGATAATGCTGCATCATCTAAACATGATTTAGTTAGGACTGAACGACATGATCCAATAAACTTTTCATGTCCCCTGCACATGATTTTAACTCTAGTTTCAAGCTTAGGAGACACACCCAGTTGTCTATACTCAGAAGAATGTTTAATGGAAGCCAAAGCACCACTAAATCCAAGTGCTTCACAGAACAGTCTTGCTTCTTGGGCCGTGAACTCTGACCCACCACACACTCTTCTATATGTCATGCCTGTTTTCTTCTCAACGATTCCTTCAAATGATTCAAAATCGGCACTGGGTGTGGAAGTTCGCATAATCTGCGGTGGTGCAGCTAACTTAGTGTCGTCTACCACTTTATACAATGATTTCTGATAAATTGGGAATCCTTGCAAAGAAAACAAATGATTAATTGTTATAAGACTGGAGAGCAAACTCTTAAAGAGTAAAAATAATATACCTGTACATAATTAAGATATAACAAATGTATTGTACTTACTACAGTCTATTTCAATGTCTTTAAATGAAGCACAATTAATATGATCATCATACCTGTAAGAGACAAAATATATGTCATGTGTTGTAATCTGCAAACTAAAATTCATCAATGTTATATTTCATTGAAATATGTCATATTTGCCTCATCCAAATAACAAAAAGTCACAAATAGTTTATTCCATAAATGTAGTGATATCCTTATGGCCTTTATATTTCATATATGACTGTATTGTGTGCCAAAAATCATATAACCAGCTCAGTTGCTATTCCCTATTCATACAAAATTATGTTAAAGTCACCATATCTGCATAAGCATTGTATTATACCTTAATATGAGTCAAAAGTCACCATAATTTATAGGATACCATATAATAAGTCAAAGTTATCATACCTACACTGTTGTAGACTTTGTTCATTGGACAGACATCTTAATCCACTGATTATCACAGAGTTAATATCAGCGTTATACATAAATTTATGTCTGTAAAACATATTTATCAAACACTGCAAAACAAATGGCTTTCACATGTGTATATACAATTAAAGTAAATATGAAATAATTAGTAGACTATATTTAATGAAAAGTTTCTTTATTCCTCAGTGCAAAGAGAACAGCGTTTTCACTAAAAGATTTGGCTGATAAGTTCTGTTTTTTTATGTCCATCTAACCTTCATATTTGGTCTGAAAACGCTACTAAATGCTTAATTAATTTGAAAATTGTACAAGATGTCAACTTGGTACTGTTATTTACATTTCAAGAACACTACCTTGCAGACTTAGCACTGAATCCAAGTGTTCGGCAAATGACAGCAGAGTTAAAACGTGACCATCTGTCAGGACAAACCTTACCACTCTTTCCATTGAAAACAATACTAAGTATCCCATGGTTTCCATTTGTAAGGCTCACTTTCAATGGTAATACATCTAAAATATAGGCACACTAACTGAAGATGAATAAAACAAATAGTATTAACTCAATAGAAAAACTATTACTTAAGAAAGGACAAACCCAAAACATATCAAATAATGATAAAACACACAGAGGAACAAAGTCAAAAGACTTCCAGTCTATTATATAGAAGTGGACTAGAATAAGAAAACAGGACAACAAAAATGACATAATTGAACATGACATAGGTTTGAGAGATTGGAGAGAGAATTAAAATTAACGGAATTTGAAGAGAAAATCTGAGAACAAATCTGAAATCATCCTCTCGTGTTGCTGTTTAGTCGTTATCTGGAGCAGATAGTCTTCTTAAATCTATAGATGAGAGTTGAAACTGTCCCATCTCCACTATCCCTGAATCTGACTCTTCTTCAGAGGAAATATCATCAGTTGCTTACTCCTCATCATTTTCTTCAACCAACTGAAAACTGTTTTGAGGGTGATTTTCCTCTATCCCCTTTCCCCTGAAGCATTAGCTGCCCTAAATCAAGATTGTGATCTTCCCAAGTATGAAGTGCCACAACTCTTACTTTTGCACATTGTAGTAATTGTATTTCAATGTACATACATGTTGTTTGCTTAAGTCATTGCTTTAGTGGCTTACAAGTGTGTCTAAATATACTGTATACCAACCAGTTCTGTGCTCTGCTTCTGAGGATCAACCTCACCTCAGAGGCAGAGTATAGTATTCACATGTTATTCAAATATACTAGCATCAAAATAGAAATATTTCTGTTCATATGACTACTATATGATTGATTAAAAAAGAGCAACACTGGAGGCCCTTCTGGGATGGATAGCAAAATAGATAACACTGAAGGCCCTTCTGGGATAACACACATGATAGACAATATTAGATAGCACTTACTCCAGCAGAATCTTCAGTAATGTCCATAATTTGAACTGACTAAAGATGAATAAAACAAATAGCTTTAACACAATAGGAAAACTATTACCCCAAACATATCAAACAATGCTAAAACTCACAGAGGAAAAAAGTCAAAAGACTTCCTTTCTATTATATAGAAGTGAACTAGAATGGGATAAAAGGAATAACAAAAATGACATAATTGGACATGACATAGGTTTTAGAGATAGGAGAGAGTATGCTAAGCAACCACAAATTAAAATAAATGGAATTTAATTTGGAAATCTGAGAAATACAAAGCCTCCTGTCCAATTAAATTTTAACACTTTCAGAAATCGTCATTTAAGATAAGCCCCTGCAGTTTTGCAGTCTCATCTTCATCTCGACACAGTGTTGCCATTTTATCTTCATCCTCTTATGATGGAGGGTATTCTTCTGGGTATTACTATGTGTTTGTATATACATTCTTCAGTCTACTTGCTGTACATGTAACTCATCTCTAGCTAACATCTACTGATCTTGGGTTGCACTTAGGAGATTCAATGCTTTGCATTTGCCGTTTACTAAGTTTCTAAATAAATATTTAGTTAAAAACACCACTTAAGTTAATTATCATTGTACCCCTAGACCAAACAATGGATTATACCACACGAACCACCAGATGTAAGATTGGGGGCCAAGCCGAATTAAGCTGCAAAAAGAAAGAAGAACCAAGTCGTTTCCAAAAACTTCAGTAGTTTTGTCAGTTTATTTTATATTTTGACACATTTGAAAGCATTTTTAAAAAAAAATCATGGCACAATCAGATTGGGATCTATCAAGAGCTTGAATGAGTGACATTTCAAAAATTCTAAAGGATCTGTCAAAATCACAGAAGGGGCTTCATGATGGGAAACATGCTGGGTTAGCCAGGGGGGCTGAAGCCATATTCAGCAGGAGTCCTTCTATCAACAGGAATGATGATGTGGACCATGAGAAACAACAGCAGTTTGTCCAGCGATTAAAAGAGGAAGTCACTTTTCGCAACCATCATCACAAACAGATGACTCAGAGCAATCAGCACCTCCTGATTATACATTAAATACCACACTGGATACGATTGATTATTCTGTCAAACCAAAAAATAAATCAGGGGCTCAAATGGCCATGGCTCATGACGCTAGGCGGGCTTTAATTGAAAAAGAAAAATTGGCTGATCTTATGGTTGTGTGCTGACCAAAATAAAATAATAAAGAAATTAGAAAATGCTAATAAAGACATGGCTAGACAAATGGAGGCTAGACTCCACAATTTAGAATTAAAACTAAAACAACAACAATCCTTCTCTGAGGAATTACAAAATCAGAATCACTTAATGTTCCTTGAACAGAATGAATTAAAACAACAAAATTCTAAATTGCGTGTCAAAGTAGGCACTTATAAAAGGCGTACCATTCCCCCACCACCTTTCATGTCACGCACCACTCATGAGTCTGACTCAGACACTAATTCAGAGGGGGAGGTTGATCCAATTGAACATACACCTGTATCCCAAGGGAGGTGGGTCCACCCTAACTTCTCCATCAGATCAGTCCACAATGAGAAATCACCATCCCCTGAACCAGCTAAGCCAGTGGGTACCATTCTTAAAAAGGCTGCTTTCAAACCAAAGCGTCTCAATGTTTATGAAGGGAATTAAGTGATGATTAGATTAATAATTGATTTTTGCGTGTTTGGAGAGAAAAAATGTGCCTCTCTGGTTATTTTTCAATTTATTAGGTGCAATTTGCACTATTTATGGAACACTGGTTATGACATGGATTCGAGGCTTGTTTCTGTAGGTGTAAGAGTTATATTCATTGGAAGGAAGGGGTAATCTCAAAACAAAACAAAATGTTTTCACTAAATTAAATACTAATATGTTTAAATAAGTCAAGGGTTTCGTTTTAATTATCCTTCTAAATAACACCAAGATTTAAGACAAATTTGAGATGACTCTTTGTTTTAAATAAAATGTCTTGGTGTAATTCTTTCACTATTTGTTGGGGTGTCCAGAGTAATAATGGGAAAGAATAATTATTTAATGTATTCTAATTATACATTATAATTGAATGATATAATACGCAGGTAACAATGAACTAGCTATACATAGAAATGGTATTGTTTTAAAATATTAATTTATGAATTTGAGTTAATAAATTTAATGTATTACCAGAGAGATGAATTTACTCAAAAAATAAAAATAAATAATATAAAATTATGATTAAAACAGTATGCTCAGATAAATAAGATCATATCATCTACCATATGTGGCACTATATGTGTTCAAATAATTAAGTATTATTAAATTAAGCTAACCTATCCTTTCGGCGAAACCCATTGTTTTTTAATTTTCATAAACAAATGTTCTATGTATTGTTATATGTGAGATTCTGTTTGTCTTTGAGGGGGGGGGGTGAGTGTAGCACTTTCTTGCATTTGTATTTCCATGTATGTACATGCTGTCTGCTTATGTCATTGCTTTAGTGGCTAAAACGTGTGTCTAAATATATATTACTTCAGTTCTTTGCTATGCGTCTGAGGATCAACACTTCAGACGCATAGTATAGATTTCAAATATATATATATATATATATATATCATTAATGTTTAAAGCTCAATACAATAGTTATGTTTACATCAATTACTAGGCGATTTTCTGGGATTCATAATTAATAATAGACTAACAGCGACAATGAACATAATGTATGAACTATTTACACAACAACCATAGACACCAGTACGATATTAAGCCAAGAGGCTCGTTTCAAAAGGAACATTTCTGCTAAAACAGAAGAAAAGGGAACAATGATATTACATAATTTCGTTATATTTGATATGAAAGAAACAATTCAACATATCCAGTGTATCATATATTGCGGTTCCTGTTGTAAAGAACATTTGCAATCTTAAAGGTTAAAAGAGGAACAAGTTAACATAAAATATTTCTGCCAGAGCAGAGGAAAAGGGATCAATGATATTACATAAACTTGTTATTTTTGATATGAAAGAAACAATTCAACGTATCCATATATTGCGGTTCCTGTTGTAAAGAACTGTTGCCATAGTTAGCTAATAATATTACCTAATGTTACCTAATGTCATATGCTTTTATGATTAAGTTGCTTGATTATTCTATATGTTGCTATTTGTGATTAAGTTTACCACACCTCAATTCATATTAGGGCTGAATACATAGCATCCCTACGCCATTGCTGAGCCAGAATATAGTGCAATCCTTGTCTAACCATTTGTTTTATTATAACTTCCAATCAATGTGCTAGAATATATCCTTGCAAACCCTCTGCCCATATAACGAAACCCCTGCTGCATAACCACCCAATCACTATGCAATGCATACTAATATCCCTGCTAATATTAGTCAGCTTAAGTCATGCTAAAATAAGGCTAGTCAGTCTGGCCCTGTCTCAAATCAAGAATACAACCTTGCGTCGTGTTTTGTAAAACAACAACTTCTTAACATAGACAACACTGGAGGCCCTTCTGGGATTGTCTTCAGGATTGGGATGATATGTTGCCTTTAGCCTTGTTGATATACAGAAACACAGTGCACTCAACAACATATTATTCTCCAAATAAGATCATGCTTGGTAGTCAGGTATATCTGCCATGTGATTTAAAATATGGGATGATGTCAAGTCAGCTGAATACAAAAGAAAATATGACATGAGTGTGTCAACTCATCAATATAGCCCTGGTTCTTCTGTATCACCCTGCTCTGAAACAAACACAAGGCAAAAAGTTGGTAAGACAATTTTATTCTGGAGTGTATATTGTGGTTGAAATAATATCCTGTAATGTCCTCAGGATCAAGCAAAAGGAAATAAGTCAAGTGTTGTATCCTACAACATGCTTATTCCATATTATTCTAGAACTCAAGACCCCCTTGAGTGAAAGGGGTGTTGTTGCAAGGTAAAACGTGGACACCAATGACAAAAAGGCATAACAACTAGTGTCACTAGGGTGGTAAAAATAAAATCTTCAAATTAATGTAATTTAATTCAATGAATATAAAAAAATATATTTGTATATCTGTTAAATTGGATTATACTCAAAAATTCTACAACACAAAGAATGAGGTGCAAACACCTCTTAGGTATTGGGATACCTTCACCGAGATGGAGGACCTAGCTGTGGAGGTGACTATGGTAAGGGCCATGGCCAGCGTGGTTGAAGAGGAGTATGAGGAAAACCTCATATCCAAATCCTCTTTTGACCACCACCATGGTCTGCTGTGGGAACGAATCCACAGTGTGGAGGTCCGTCTCGGTGAGGCCAAGCGGAGAGGTCAATACCTCTTAGACTTCTTGGGGACCTGTTGCCTGAGTGCTTCTGCGCTTTGTGTCTATGTATGTTTAAAGAAATAATCCAATTATAAATAAGTATTTGTTCCTAGCTTGTAGTATAGGCCATCATGCCATTTCAGATCACTGTGTCATTTACATCCTTTATAATGTCTCCATTATCTTAATTAAACATCCATGATTAATAGGATATTTCTTGTTTATACAAAAACTCATATTAATTACATCAATATTACATTAACAATTAAAATTAGTTAAAATCATTTCTTTTCCAGAATGGAATTTCTTAATTTTCGAGTAGAGGTGCCCCTTACCATGCCCTTGGGACACGAGGACACTGGGGATTACCTTGTGTTCTATAACACGAGGGCTGAGGTGCAAACACCTCTCAGGCATTTGAATCCCTTCACTGAGATGGAGGATCTGTCTGTGGAAGTGACCATGGTTAGGGCAATGGGCAGTGTGGTAGAGAGGGATTATGTGGAAAATCTCATATCTAAATCCTCTTTTGACCACCCCCATGGTCTGCTGTGGGAACGGATCCACAGTATAGAGGACCGTCTCGGAGAGGCCAATACCTCTTAGGCTTCTTGGGGACCTGTTGCCTGAGTGCTTCTGCGCTTTGCGTCTATGCCTGTCTTAAGAAATAATCCAATTATAATTGTCCCTAGCTTGTAGTATAGGCTATCATGTCATCTCAGATCACTTTTAGATTTTCGCGTGGAGGTGCCCCTAACTATGCCTCTGGGGCATGACGACACTGGAGATTACCTTGTCTTCTACAACACAAGGAATGAGGTGCAAACACCTCTAAGGTATTGGGATCCCTTCACCGTGATGGAGGACCTAGCTGTGGAGGTGACCATGGTAAGGGCCATGGCCAGCGTGGTTGAAGAGGAGTATGAGGAAATCCTCTTTTGACCACCACCATGATATGCTGTGGGAACGGATCCACAGTGTGGAGGACCGTCTCGGAGAGGCCAAGCGGAGAGGTCAATACCTATTGGCTTCTTGGGGGCCTGGTGCCTGAGTGCTTCTGCGCTTTGCGTCTATGTCTGTCTTAAGAAATAATCCAATTATTATTGTCCCTAGCTTGTAGTATAGGCTATCATGTCATCTCAGATCACTTTTAGATTTTCGTGTGGAGGTGCCCCTAACTATGCCTCTGGGGCATGACGACACTGGAGATTACCTTGTCTTTAACAACACAAGGAATGAGGTGCAAACACCTCTAAGGTATTGGGATCCCTTCATCGAGATGGAGAACCTAGCTGTGGAGGTGACCATGGTAAGGGCCATGGCCAGCGTGGTTGAAGAGGATTATGAGGAAAAACACCACTCAGGCATTTGGATCCCTTCACTGAGATGGAGGATCTGTCTGTGGAAGTGACCATGGTTAGGGCAATGGGCAGTGTGGCAGAGAGGGATTATGAGGAAATTCTCATATCCAAATCCTCTTTTGACCACCACCATGGTCTGCTGTAGGAACGAATCCACAGTGTGGAGGACCGTCTCGGAGAGGCCAAGCGGAGAGGTCATACCTCTTAGGCTTCTTGGGAACCTGTTGCCTGAGTGCTTCTGCGCTTTGTGTCTATGTATGTTTAAAGAAATAATCCAATTATAAATAAGTACGAGGGGTGATTCAAAAGTAATGGACAAAATTTTATAGGCATACTAAATTTCACCCAATCAGTCTAATTTTTTCACAGTGAATAGATCAATCAATTCTCTACTTTGTGTCGAATTCTCATTTAAATGCATTTGAAATTGTTTCAGCTATGCATAACCATGGTAACAAGGGTAAGCATGGGTGGAATTGGTTTTTTAATGATAATTGAATGTTTTTGTCATTTTTGCTTGATTTCGTTTTAATGACTCAATTACCACACATGATATGTCTAACAAGCATGGTAATGCAATTGTCAAGCAAGACTCACATGCCCATGTGTTTGCTGTTGAGTTCTAAATTCAGCAGCCAATTGTGCTATAACATCACAATGATATTTCTAAGAATGATGAGTCACAGTGAGTCAGAAAGTAGATCAGACTCTTAGACTCACACACATCCAAGAAATGTCTACTTTACAACAAATCAAAGTTAAGCAAAGGATTGTTATTGAATATTTGGTAGCTACTGGAGAGACAAGGCAGGCAGTTGTCAAGAAAATAAAAGAGACACATGGAGACAAGGCCTTGTCAAGGCAAGCCATTGAGCGATGGTACAAAGACTTTAGTGAAGGGGATACGAGAGTCTTAGATCTAAAGCGATCTGGAAGGCCCAAGACAATATCAATTTATTTCGATTATTTTTTGTATAACGCATGGAAAGTAACTTTAAAAATTGAGCAATGTCATTAGTGTTGTGATAATAACGTCCCTTATACCTATTTATTACAGGTCATGTAGACCATGGGCATGTGAGTCTTGCTTGACAATTGCATTACCATGCTTGTTAGACATATCATGTGTGGTAATTGAGTCATTAAAACGAAATCAAGCAAAAATGACAAAAACATTCAATTATCATTAAAAAACCAATTCCACCCATGCTTACCCTTGTTACCATGGTTACGCATAGCTGAAACAATTTCAGTTGCATTTAAATGAGAATTCGACACAAAGTAGAGAATTGATTGATCTATTCACTGTGAAAAAATTAGACTGATTGGGTGAAATTAAATATGCCTATAAAATTTTGTCCATTACTTTTGAATCACCCCTCGTATTTGTTCCTAGCTTGTAGTATATGCCATCTTGCCATTTCAGATCACTGTGTCATTTACATCTTTTATAATGTCTCCATTATCATAATTAAATTACCATGATTAATACGATATTTAGAGGTCCCATCATCATTCCAGAAAAAGTTCCGTAAGAAAAAGAATGCATGCAAGAATATAACAACTGTTAAAAGAGAAAATTTAATTAGTATCAATTAAGAAAAATAAATTAAATAGAATGAATTCAATAAAATAAAGTAGTGTCAATCAGTTGTACTTTCATATTTTGAAATGCTGACATGTGAACAACATTCTTAATTTCAAAGTCATCTGTTATCACTATAAGATATATGCATTAAAACACATAAATCATTAACAAGTATTAATACAGACATTACACATATATGATATGCTTTATTAAAACCCTCATTGCTCTCTAGTATTGTAAGACCTATGGCATCTCAAGGGTAAGGTCTCTTTTCGATTATTCAGTCTGATTATTAACCCCTAAAACAAAATGAAGAAGGTTAATCAATTACATAATCCTTTATCAATTAAATTCGTATTAGAGTGCATACAATGATGTGGTATAATGTTGCATGGTTAGGTAAATGATAATTGTTATATAGTCCATGCCTCTGCATTTGGACAGCTCAAACCGGAATCCTTGAAAGGTCAAGGCTGCAGTAGAACAAAATGGCAGAAGCTAAGCTAGAAGTTTTCTGAAAATCTTTTTAGCTGTAACTGCTAAATAATTTTACAAACCTTCCTGACCTTAATTGATTAACTTGGAGCATTCTATTTCTGTATGGCATTACAGTTTAGCTAACCTACAGATAGCTTCATTTGACCCTCAGCTTAATCATCATTAATTACATTTACGTCTAGCTCGAAGTGGAAGCAATGGGAAGTTACATTCCTCAAGTTGTTTGTGTATACAGATACACTCTATTAACATACGGTATTTTTAGGTGCACTATGATATTTTATCTTTAACTTATGAAATAAAGGTTCTACAATAAGAATATTACAATGATTAATTATCAGGAATGGTAGCAACTTGGATTTTTTAGACAGGTTTAACATTACGCTACCTTTAAGTTATGCATTATTAATCATTATAGTATTTAGCTATCTTCAATGAGCTTATTAATGAATGGTTCCTTGAAACATAAAATATGTCTCTTCAGTTTGAGATAACTCCTGAATATAAAACGGCATAAATTATGATTTTTTGGGATCACTTGTTGAGCAGCACAAGAACTCTAATCATTTAGAACTCTAATCTAATCCGACATTCTAACAAGTTACTGCACTTCAATTGAACATTTCTGCTAGAGCAGAGGAAAAGGGATCAATGATATAACATAAACTTGTTATATTTGATATGAAATAAACAATTCAACGTATTCAGTGTTTCATATCTTGTGGTTCCTGTTGTAAAGAACATTTGCAATCTTAAAGGTTAAAAGAGGAACAAGTTAACATATCTCGTAAAGCAGTAAAGAAAATTTGCGGTATTAAAGCACGACAACGTATACGTATCTCATGAATTTTGCTGTAAAGAACAATTGGGATATTATTTCATACATAATGTTACCAGCCCTTGTTGTGAACAACAGAAAAAACTATCATGTGTGTATAGATAACAAAAATACAACTTTGTGTCGTGTTTCTTCAACCACCAAGTGCTAGTATAGACAACAGTAATTGTCAGAACATTACTGCTATACATATGTTTGACAGGGGTCTGTGTGCAATTTTCTATTGGAAGTGGTATTTTCTTTGACCTTATAAAATCTTGATCTTTAGACTTGATTGTATTTATCCAATTTGAATCAATGTAAATATGATTTTATTATTGTATGCATGACCTTTTCTTGTATTACATGTATTGTATTGTCATATTACTACATGTATATTGTAAAATTCTAAGGGGAGAATTAACCCGGGGTAGGGGAGAGTTTTAAGTGTAGTATTTCACAACACCAACATGTGCCTCTATGACCCCATGAACTAATGAGGTCAACTCTGTTTGTAAACAACCTTTCATTTTAAGGTCGAGCAATGCTCTTGGTATTGACGTGACGCAATTCAGATAATAAGACTAGTCAGTCTGGCCCTGTCTCCTGAAGCGGTAGGAATAATAAAGAAACCAAGAAAACAACTTTGTGTCGTGTTTAGTACAACTTTGTAACACAGACAACAAGAACATTTGCAATCTTAAACGTTAAAAGAGGAACAAGTCAACATATCTCGTAAAGCAGTAAAGAACATTTGCGGTATTAAAGCACGACAATGTATACGTATCTCGTGAATTTTGCTATAAAGAACAATTGTGATATTATTTCGTACATAACGTTACCAGCCCTTGTTGTGAACAACAGAAAAAAACTATTATGTGCATATATATAATAATAGTAAACTTTGCATCGTCATGTCATTGCCTAAGATTGAGTCGGCCGAAGGTAGGTCAAAGCGGAATTTTCTGTCTTCGATTTTCGGGGATTTTTATCATCTAATGGGTCTGGCCACTCAAGGCATTGTTGAACAAATGACATCTCATATAACCAGTCTTGAAAAAAATCAAAGAACAATTGTTGAATGACAAAAGGCTATACGCAATAGTATGGTAGCCATGGCGAACTTAACACCATCTCGTATTGACAACTTAGTATCTGTTATGGCAAAGAATGAAGAGATTATTTATAAGGCATTGTCAAATGTTTCTATTCAAATCTCTAATACCAGACAGGATCTTAATATACTGAACACATATGTGAGACAACTTAGAAAAGTTATATATTTTTTAGCCCGGGCATTTCATATTCGATCAAAGCAATTCACTGAAATAGAGAGTTCTTATGTCAATCTGGAATTACTCAAATGCTAGAGGGGAGACTAACATTTATGTTTGTTGCTCCGAATGAATTAAAGGGAATATTAGAAATGGTTAAATTGCAGTTGGTTACAAATCTAGGTGCAGAATGGGAGTTAACCTATGATTCTCTTGACAAATATTATAGATCAATGACTGTGTTTGGGGGTTACACGGAAAAGGCTTTATACATTACAATGAAATTTCCTTTTACCCCTGGGTATATGACAGTATATCCTGGACATTTCAACTCCTAAGGGCTGGGGGAGAAGTCTTACTTCAGCTAGAAACTCTGGAAAATAAGGCTAGCTAGTCTGGTCCTGTCTCTCGTTGTAATAGGAGCAATAAACCAGCAATCATTAAGGATACAAAGTGCTACTATAGCCAACACTGGAGGCCCTTCTGGGATGGATAAATAACAGAGATTAGGCGACACTGGAGGCCCTTCAAAAAAGAACCCAGGATCCTGTTTATAATGCAGGTTGCTGGATATTTTAAATCGAAATGAAGATCTGGAACTGATTTGGTCCTCCTACCACAGGTCAAAGAAGATATAGATGGAATAATGTTGCAGCCCATGAAGATCTGGAACTGATTTGGTGGCAAAGACCAAATTTATTAGGAGTAATAAACCAACAATTATTACTAATACAATTTGCGTTGTGGTCTTCAACCAACAAGTGCTACTATAGCCAACACTGGAGGCCCTTCTGGGATGGATAAACAACAATAACTGGATAAGGTGACAATCACTTACCTTTACATCTAACAGCAGCAAACCCAGTTTTACATGTTGCTACTGGTTGAATTCTGCATGCACCCATATCTTTTGAGGTTTGGGAGCATTGGACGGTTACATTACCTAAGAAATTAAATTAAATAAAATTAAATGATTAATGCATTTTCACTTGAAAATTTTCAATCAGAAGTGAAAATCAATAAATTACATAAAAATTTGTAAGCAAAATATTGACAAAGATTATGTTTCATCAAAATTGAGAAATGCATAACTACAATGACATTCAGAGAAGTCCCCATGGATGAATGTGGCATTCATCACAAAGATAAATATACTAAGGGTGGTTTCATGACAAAACACATACTCAAATTTTCACCACTGAACTCAAAGTCAATGTCACTGACTGGCACAGCTTTGTCTGCGTTATAACCCATTGTGCTACATATAACCTTTGCATCATTGTAATCCCAGCTAGTATCACAAACTGTGTTCCACTTGTCATTAATGTAGACTTCTACTATTCCTGCAGTGGAATCACCTCCAACCAACCACACTCCAGGCAGTGGTCTACTTGCTCTTTGGCCTTGGGTAAATAAAATTTAATTCACTCAGAACTCACAATAATGGAATATGACTGTTTGATGCCAAAGCAAAGATGTTCTGGTCAGTGTAATGTATCTGCTTTATATGAGCTTATTAGCCTTTTGCAGATTATTGACATAGACAATGTACAAACTATTTTGTGAAAACCACAAGCGGGGACACCAACTGATCCATCACATTGACACACATGAGATACAGTTGAGCAAGTAAATAATGAAAATAGGGGAGAACTTTTCCACTAAGGATCATAATTCTACATGTTCATGTGCAAGTTTTTTTAAAAATGTGTAGTTTAACCTCCATTTGTATACCTCCAATTATGTATTTATTGTACAATATATACCATAAAGCTATAAAAGAAAGAGAAAAACTCTTAGGGGATTAAATCAAAAAGGGCTATACAAAGTATGGGCCAGTTATATTTCAAATAAACACTTTAAATTATGAAAAAATTTCTTTTTGAATTTTAATGTCTGAATAGTACATTACCTGGTAATTTGATTATCAAGTGATACTATGAGGATCATTCATATTTTTTTATCATTTGGTTATTCAAATTTATTGATTTCATGATGTCACTTTGCCTTATTTATTACCTAAACATCTGTATTGTGAAGAGAGGCCTAAGCTGACATAATTAAGATACTATTTTACAACATAGAAAAATTGGAGCGACAGCTGATGCCATGGGAATAATGCTTTACTAATCATTTTCTAATCATTTTCTTGCACATAGTGTTACATGTTCATCAATTTTCACATTTCAAAAGTAATCTATTACAGTTAGATCACTAAAACCTTTTTAACTAAAATCTAATCAAGACATTTCTGCTGGTGAAAATAAAATCAGATCAGCATGGATGAGGTGATAATGGCAATACTTACAGTTTATGATCCATAAGTGTACAAGTGTCCATAACAAACGGAAACCCATGTTAGCCATGCTATTCTCTCAATACTAATTTCAAATGTTAATGGCTCAATGGTTCACATTTAAATATATGCTTCATAAATCTTAATATTGCTTGTTTTTGTATGGGCAATTGGTCATGTATTTTATGAGACTTTAACTAGTGAACTTGTTATTATCTTGGTGATGAGGACATCTTTTAATTACACATGGAGTTTATTTAGTCAATAAGACAACATGGTGATCAGAATGAAAAAATGATTTGTAATTGAATTGATGGAACTTTTCAGCATCGCCATATCCTATTTTACCTGTGTGTGTCAGAGAGTTACTTACTTACTAAAATACATTATCACATCTTCTTTATTTCATTTACAAGATAAATGCTTTTCATTTTATTCAAATACTCATGAATAAACATTTTTGATGTTTTCAGTATATATTATAACACTACCGCGTCACACTGGACTAGGAGTATGTAATACAAATTAACGATTTAAAAAAGATCAAAGTTTAAAAAATTGTGGTTGCATATAGCTCAGACTAGGGAGTGTGATCTAATTCTTTAATTCACCAAATGATAACACAAAAATGTGAATGGTTTATATTCTATACTATTACAAACTAATGTCAAAGTCAAAGCTGATCAGTCAAAGCTGATCCCTATCGGTGCAGAAATGGAGACAGAATTATCTCAGAGCGATTTAAAATTTTGTTTGATGCACGAAAACAAAGATGAGAGATATGTTTTAATTTTGGAGTCAAGCTATCTTATGGTGCGCATGGAGAAAATTTCACCTAGCATACATTTAGCTCATGAAAAAGTGTTATATTTGGGCTGGTTGAGTCCGCGGCTTTCCATGAACATAGCAATCTTTCCCCATTTCAAAGTTTTCAAGCTAGTGACATCCAATTGAGGGTGAATGGTAGCGCAATTTTTCCTCCCCTAAATTTAGATTTTGAAAACGATTGTTTCCTCGAAGGGTATACAAATTTACTTCTAAATATGGACGCATGATATAGGCCTTGATAAATCAAGTTATAAAAAGTCAGTTTTGTATGCATACAATTTGACCCTGGATTTCACTGATAGTAATGATTGCTTATCAGAATTAAGTAAAACCGGTTCTTTGTCCATTGAGATCAAATTGCGAAGAGCTGTTGACAAGTCTGTTACTCTGGTGGTTTGTTTGGAACAAGAGCCAATTCTAGAGAAGGACGCCGACAATAATATATTTTTGATTAATTATAAACTATGACAATAGAGAAATCAACTATCTCCTTAAGAATCACAAAGAAACAAGGAGGATATATTTTTGAACATTTTCTATCGATTTGGCACCCAAGAAAGTTTCGCCAAAGCCTACCATTCTTGTGATTAATTTGGCAAATTCTAGAAAGTTAATTGGGCATTGGACAGTCTTATATTTAGCGAGAGATCCAAGTAAAAATGAGTACTTTGATAGTTTCGGGCGTAACCTCCGAATAGTCTGTTGAAGCATTAGGTGGATCATATATATTTAACAAGAGACAAATTCAAAGTATACTGTCTATATGGTCTGTGGTCAATATGTCTTACTTTATACGCTTCAAAAGGCTCGCAGAAAAACATTGTCAGAGTTTGTTAATTTATTTTCAGATGACACCCTTCTGAACGATGTGTTGGCCAGGGAGACAGTTGCTGGAGAATTTGATTATTATTCTCAAATAATAGATCTCAGTTTTTTTAGAAAATCCCAGATTGGCTATGGCTCGATGTTCTATAGTACAAAAAAGAAAATATATGAAGGAATTGTGAGAAAATGCAATGATTCCTCAGAAGTTGACTAAAGCTGCTTCGGCATATGATATGTTAATCCCCCATTCGCTTGAAATTGAACCTGGAGAAATAAGAACTATTGGTTTGAGGGTAAAAATACAATTCCCCAGGCATATTTCAGCAATCTTACATACAAAGTCAAGTCAGGTCAAGCTAAATGCTGTCTTTTTTTTGGGTGGTGTAATTGATTCAGATTATATCGGGAATATTCATATCATTTTATTGAATTCTGGGAAAACAACAGAAAAATTTATGATTGGGGAGGCAATTTGTCAGATGAAATTATATAAGGATATTTCTATAAAAATGCGGGAGGGGTTTAACAAGAAAAATACAGAAAGAGGCGAATTAAAATTTGGGGAAGCTACCTTGAGAAAAATTCAAAAGTAACCTTGGAAAATAATTTTGTGAGTGTTTGAATTCACCATGCGATATTGTTGTATATTTCTGCAGGTTTACCAGAGACGTTGAAAATATACAACAAGCAACATAAGCGACAGATACTGGGATTTCCCTCAGCTGTTAAGTTCATGGGATACTCCAACCAAAATTTGTTTAGGGCATTCGGCTATTGATGACCGAGGCTAGAGCTGTGTCTTTGACGTGAGTCATTGTATCTCGCTTATGCTTTCTTTAAAAAGGAGCATTCTAAAATTTAATAAACTGTTTGATGTCATTAGTAATCCTGAGTGTCTGTTTCACCACCTTGATATGGATCGATTTGAGGCGGCTCGATTTGGGGTGGTGAAACAGACACTTCAGTTATATTCTCTTCCAATGCATCATATTGCATATCTTTTGTATCTCCAATTTGACTTATTTTAATGTTATTTTTTCCCCCATGATATTGACCATTGGTATATATCTGGCCATTATTAGAAAATTGCAGTAGAAAACATTTACTTCTCTTCTTATTGATAGATGGCATAAGGGTTGTATTTATACCATAAAACCAAATAACATATTGGATAATTTTCTGGAGATATCGATGAAAAATTCTCCATTTAAAAAAACATCTAGTCTATTGATAGAGGGAGCATAGGGAAAGAATGTTCGACAAAGGTCGCTTATCCACCCGAGATGCTAAAAATTTATATTATGCGGCTGAAGCGGTTCGCTTCAGATTTATGCTATACCTCCAAATTCTGATGGTGGCGGCCGAGGGCCTGTTGACTCAAGACCATGTGGAGGAGGACGCTGTGTTGGGAACCTTGAATTACAGGGAGTATGAGGGGGAAGGGGGAATTCCATTTGAGTAAGTCAAGGGTTTCGATTTAATTATCCTTCTAAATAACACCAAGACTTAAGACAAATTTGAGATGACTCTTTGTTTTAAATAAAATGTCTTGGTGCAATCTTTTCGTTAATATTTTTGAAGTTTTTTCCGAAAATATCACTAGTATGGCTGTTTATGTGTGATATTGATGTGACATGCCACGTTATTATGACTCATGTGTTATAAAAATACAAAATTATGATTCAAACAGTATGCCCAGATAAAAAAAGATCATCTACCATAGATGGCACTATATGTGTTAAAATATCGATATCTATCCTTTCGGCGAAAGCCATTGTTTTTTTTTGATTTCCATAAAAAATGTTCTATGTATTGTTATATGTGGGATTCTGTTTGTCTTTGAGGGGGGTGAGTGTAGCACTTTCTTGCACTTGTATTTCCATGTATGTACATGCTGTCTGCTTACGTCATTGCTTTAGTGGCTAAAAGTGTGTCTGAATATAAACTACTTTAGTTCTCTGCTGTGCGTCTGAGGATCACCACCTCAGACGCATGGTATAGATTTCATTAATATATATTATTATTAAATCAATAGCAAAAAATAGACTACATTGTTATGTTGAATTCAGGGATTAATGAACACATGATTTACAACAACAATCATGACAATTAATAGAAAAAAACATTAGACTACAAATGGCAACAGTCCCTTACGACAACTTGGAGCGTGAAGTACAATGCGGGGAGTTAATCAAGGAACTCATAAGGGTGAGGGCTGAGTTAGGAGAAATAGAAGAGCTTGAATCCGAGGGTGTCATTAGCCGAAAATCTGCGAGTATAAATTCTGATAGTCTAATAATTCGAGAAAACAAAATTTTAACCTTCCTACAGGTAATTTCGTTAGCAAACGATCGACTTAACCACTAGAGTAGTCATATAAATATATTGGTAATATAGTTAAGGTATATATAACATTGTAAAGTGTCAATAGAAATCAACTTGAGCATTCATGATTCTAATATTTTTCGTAAAAGAAATGAAAAAATACTAACAGAAACCCGTCGGACATTTTAAGTAAACAAAGTAAAAAACAAAGAAATATCTAAAAGTTGCCTACTAGCTGTAGAAATTTTTAGTAAAATAAACAAAAACAAGTCATTTTTTGAAGAGGAACAAGCTTCTGAACACATCCCATGAATACTGAAACTTCTTTTTATAAAATTGTAAATCGTATTCTCTTTTACTTGCAACCATATGAACACATATGAACCATATGTGATATGAACACATATGGTTGGGCATAAACAAAAACAAGTCATTTTTTGAAGAGGAACAAGCTTCTGAACACATCCCATGAATACTGAAACTTCTTTTTATAAAATTGTAAATCATATTCTCTTTTACTTGCAACCATATGAACACATATGAACCATATGTGATATGAACACATATGGTTGGGCATTGTTGGGCATTGGACAGTCTTATATTTAGCGAAAGATCCGAGTAAAAATGAGTCCTTTGATAGTTTCGGTCGTAAACCTTCAAATAGTCTGTTGAAGCATTTAGGTGGATCATATGTATTTAACAAGAAACAAATTCAAAGTATACTGTCTACGGTCTGTGGTCAATATGTCTTACTTTTTCAAAAGGCTCGCAGAGTTTGTTAATCTATTTTCAAATGAAACCCTTCTGAATGACGTATTGGCCAGGAAGAGAGTTGCTAGAGAATTTGATTATTATTCTCAAATAATAAATCCCAGTTTATTTAGAAAATCCCAGATTGGCTATAGCTCGATGTTCTATATTAAAAAAAGAAAACGTATGAAAATTGAATTGTGAGAAAATGCAATGATTCCTCAGAAGTTGACTAAAGCTGCTTCAGCATATAATATGTTTATCCCCCATTTGCTTGAAATTGAGCCCGGAGAAATTAGGACTTTTGATTTGAGGGTAAAAATACAATTCCCCAGGCATATTTCAGCAATCTTACATACAAAGTCAAGTCAGGTCAAGCTAAATGCGGTCTTTTTTTGGGTGGTGTAATTGATTCAGATTATATCGGTAATATTCATATCATTTTATTGAATTCTGGGAAAACAACAGAAAAATTTATGATTGGGGAGGCAATTAGTCAGATGAAATTATATAAGGATATCTCTATAGAAATGCTGTAGGGGTTTATCAAGAAAAATACAGAAAGAGGCGAATTAAAATTTGGGGAAGCTACCTTGAGAAAAATTCAAAAGTGACCTTTGCAAATAATTTGGTGAGTGTTTGGATTCACCATGTGATATTGTTGTATATTTTTACAGGTTTACAAGAGACGTTGAAAATATACAACAACACGTAAGCGAGAGAAACTAGGATTTCCCGCAGCTGTTAAGTTCGTGGGATACTCCAACCAAAATTAGTTGCGAACATTTGACGATTGATGACCAAGGCTCGGGCTGTGTCTTTGAGGTGAGTCATTGTATCTCGCTTATGCTTTTTTTTAAAAAGGGGCATTCTAAAATATAATAAATTGTTTGACGTCACTGGTTGCAAATACCGATCTCAGAGTTAGGAGTCTGTGAATATAATCTTTGCCCCGATATTAAGTTAGTATCTTGCAATCAAATGTTCTAATATATTTTAGAAGTGGTTTATATTGTAATTATTGATTCTGAGAATATTGTCCCTTTTTATAATTGGTATAAATTGACAATATTTTATCAGGACAATAAATGCTATTATTCTGATTGTATGAATGTAAGTTTCTCATATACATTTAATTGTATTTTATTTAAACTATTGTACAAGTCTACCAATAAGCCTATTGTTGTTTTTAGCAGTATTAAGCTAAATATTTACATTTTATTGTACTTTATTCAAACTATTGTTGTTGCCTTAGTTAGCTAATAATATACTATTATTTAATGCTACCTAAAGTCATATGATTTTATAATTAAGTGGCTTGATTATTTTATATGTTGCTATTTGTGATTTAGCACACCTCAATTCATATTTGGGCATTATACCTAGCATCCCTACGTCATTGCTGAGTCAGAGTATTGTGCAATCCTTGTCTAACCACTTGTTTTATTATAACTTCTAATCAATGTGCTAGAATACAGCTTTGCAAACCCTCTGTCCAAATAAGGAAACCCCTGCTGCATAATCATCCAATCACCAGGCAATGCATACTAATATCCCTGGTAATGTTAGACAGCTTTCGTCATACTTATATCCTGGTGAATAAAGACTAGTCAGTCTGGTCTTGTCTCCTGAAGCGTTAGGTACAATAAAGAAACTAAGAGAACAACCTTGCGTCGTGTTACATGAAAATACAAGAGCTGAACAAGCCAACAATGGAGGCCCTTCAGTTGAACCCCGGCTCCCCTGTTTACAAAGCTGGTCCTGCAGAAGGTAATTATGACTTTGGCTCATTAATTCAGTTTTTTTTCAAAAAATAAAAATGAAGTTTGGCAAGTTTTTTTTCATTACAATGAGACAAGAAACATTTTTTCGGCGGTCAAGTTGAGTTACTAATGGACATATTACACACTTCGTAAGTATACACTAACACGATTACCTTAAAGCGCGATGGGGTTTTATAAACAAACAAAAAGAATAATTATGTGTCATTGGTGTTCATTTTGCCTTAATTAAATCATGGCCTCTTCATTGAGGGATCTATCTAAGTCTCTTAAAAATTTAGATAATCCAGATTACAAAGAACCCCGTCTTGATTTCCAAAGTACCCCTAAAATTGATGATGAAAAACCATTCCTTAATGAGAGATCACCCAGGTCCCCATCAGCCCCCCCCTGATTTTACATTAAATTCCACATTGGATACCATTGATCATTCTGTTAAATCAAAGAATAAATCAAGGCTCAAATTGCCATGACTCATGATCCTAGACAGGCATTTATTGAAAAAGAAAAATTAGCTGATCTTATAATTGAGTGTGTTGATCAATTAAAATTATAAAGAAATTGGAAAATGCTAATAAAGATATGGCTAGACAAATGGAGGCTAGACTCCACAATTTAGGATTGAAATTTAAACACCAACAATCTTTCTCTGAAGAATTGCAAAATCAGAATCATTTAATGTTCCTTGAACAAAATGAATTAAAACAACAAAATGCTAAATTGCGTGTCAAAGTAGGCACTTATAAAAGGCGTACCTGTATCCCAAGGGAGGTGGGTCCACCCTTACTTTTCCATCAGATCAGTCCATAATGAGAAATCACCATCCCCTGAACCAGTTAAGCCAGTGGGCACCGTTCTTAAAAAGGCTGCTTTCAAACCAAAGCGTCTCAATGTTTATGAAGGGAAACAAGAATGGAATGAGTATGTGGTAAATTTTGACACTGTATCTAAATATAATAACTGGTCAGAAGACTAGCGTTAATGGAATTGTCAATTGCTTTGAAGGGGGCAGCTTTATCTGTTCTTGCGAATATGTCCCCAGATGAAGGTGCATCTAAAACAACTTTGATCACTAGATTAAGGGAAAGGTTCAGCCCCACCCAATTGAGTATCCACAAATGTACACTTAAAAATAGAAAGAAACAAATTGATGAAACCCTCCC